TACATCCGAGACGGCACCAGTGTGCGGGTGACGCCTCACGGTTTGGAGAAGGTCCCGGGCATCTTCATATCTCGGCTGGTGCCCGGAGGGTTGGCGGAGAGCACCGGGCTGCTGGCGGTTAATGACGAGGTGCTGGAGGTGAACGGCATTGAGGTGACGGGAAAGTCCTTGGATCAGGTTACAGATATGATGATCGCCAACAGTCACAACCTGATCGTGACTGTCAAGCCGGTGAACCAGCGCAACAACGTGGTCCGCAGCAGCAGGATCTCCGGCAGCTCAGGCCAGTCGTCTGACAGCAGCGGGTCCACCGGTTACCCGAGTTTGTCGGTGGCCTCGGCGGGGGTGGTGTCCTCTGGGGCACACGGTTACCAAGACGACCTGGAGAGCGACGAGGAGGCGGACATCGTCATTGAGAGCAGCCTCAAGCGGCCGTCGCAGAGGTCCAATGCGTCCCTGGCGTCCAATGTGTCCCGCACGCACCAGCAGGCTCCGACAACAGCTTCAGGCCCCGCAGCGCCTCCGAGCCCTCCCACGCGTCCGTCATCGGTGGTCTCCACCGCCTCCTTCCACTCTCAGCCGAGTCTCAACGGAGGTTCCCACCACCACCATCACCATCACCACCACCACCAGCACAGCAGCCTCAGCTACCAGCTCCACAGAGACCTGAACCTTCAGCACAACCAACAGTCGCAGCACAGTCATCACCACGTACAGCCGCCGCATCACAGCAGCAACCCAGCCCTCCGCCACAGCAACGGCAGCCTGCACAAAATCCTCAGCTCGCTGAAAACGGACCCACGGCACAGTCTCGCGCTCCCCAGAGGAGGGGTGGAGGAGGACGGCACCGTCATCACCCTATAATACTTACAAACGCAGAGACACAAACGACCCAACCGCTCAGAGACTGAACTGGAACAGCCGGCCAGATAAATACGAGCACGCGTGTTTTGTCAGATACTAAATGTGTAACTTCTGTTTGTTTGACATAACTGATAATAGGAAGTTGCAAACATGGAAAAATGTATATAATTCTTGTATTTTTTAAAAGTCCTCTTTGTCTTACATGAAAAAAAGATTTGTATGTTTTGTAATAAGCATCAGAACGAATAACTGTTTTTAGGCAAGTCCACTGTATCCTAGAGTTCTGAATGTACCTACAGCCTGATATTGTTTCTTAGTGACCACTTTTTATTAAGATCCTTTTCATTCTTATTACTGGGACCAACTTGGGGTTGCTTATGGATGTTTTTAAAGAGTAAATCTATATTTCTTATATTCTGATAAAAGCTGTTTAGAGTATGTTTTTTTTTTTGTTTTTTTTTAATAGGTCTTTTATGCATTGATGATTGTGATCAAATCCTTGTATCTGTTTCAATAAATTATTCTGTCTCACAACTATGCAAACTAGAAATGTGATGCTTTGGTTTGACGTTTATTGGAGGGGATTGTGTAATTTTGTAAACCATCAGTTCTGCATTTATATAATTACATCTGCTGCTCAGCTCGCATATTTATTAACTTGAAAGGATATGAATAACAGAAGATACTGGTAGATGAGACTGAGATAAATCAAAGTCTAGTCTGGTCTCGTTTTAAATCTCTAATTTCATCACATAGTCCCAGTCGTTCGGTGCGTAAGTGTTCTTTAATTTACTTTGTTTCACCAAAATTATGTAGCACAAAAGGCGTTTTCTCCCCAACAGCTGCATGTTTAGCTCAGCTTGATGACCGGGTTTTAGGTGGAAAAATATATAAAGCATCGCACGACATCAAATTTTGGTTTCACCAACTCGAAAGCAAAAGTCAGAAGCTCATCTCGTGACTCACGGCTGACAATTTAAGGAATCATCGAAGAGGCCGACCTTCGAGATTCTTCAACAGCAACATCGGTAAACCAGGAATTTATAACCACAAAATACTGAGAAAGGGGTGTGGCTTTGTTGTCCTGTCCATTTCTGGAACTTGTTATCATGGTGCCAATAAAGTAAATGATAGTTTCATATTAGCAAAATAATATGGTGACTATTTAAAGACCAACAATTGATAAGGAGCAATAAGGGTGTTTAGTCAGGGTGTCACTTTAGTCTCCTTCCAGTGATGTAAATCTAACAGTTAAAGCAACAAGCCCTTTGCCTGTAGAAAGGAAGGGTAAGACATTAAGGTCAAGTTTCACAAAATAATTTGCTCTAGACATCACAAAGTGAAGACGATCCGAAGGTTGAATTCCTTTTCTCAGGCACAACCAGTCTTTATTATCGTTTAGCTTTTGGCTACAGTCAGCGTATCCACCTGCGGCAGGAATGCAGCTTTGTCTGGTGTCGGTGACCCTCCATCAGCAGCAAACTTCTTTCACCTCTCTGCTAATGAATGTTTGTCTGCTGTGTTTACTCGGGATGCCACACTGCTGCTCAAACAGCTAATAGATCTTTGACACCCAGCGAGCCTTTACTGCCAACCTACAGTTTGTGGCTTCAGTGGGAAAATCCTAACTTTCACACAATCAATCCTCTCTATTAGTGTTATTTTATCAGCTAGAGTTAGTTAGAACTCTCTTTCTCACATGAGACACAAATGTTCAGCTGATAATTTTGGGATTCAGGTGCTCAAAGCTGAGGGGACAGTCACTTTATATTGTGCAAAAATATCTAGAGGCAACCATTTTAAGGCCACCCGTGATTCTTTCACTTGTATAGTGAATGTATATTTTGTATTAAGGAGGATTTATTACTTCCTCTCCTCTCCAAATAAATGTACTTTCCCTTAGCCTTTATTTAAACTCAGAATACACCCAGTTATGGAGGCCTCAGTTCCAATACAACCAAATAAATTTGAAATGAAGAAACTTGGATAAGTATGACCCTACAAATATTAAAAGGTAAAATCACCAAAATAATAAACCCTTTAGGAATAATATGAAAATTTAAAGTTTAAAACAAATGAGTCGACTAAAACAAGAACAGCTGGAGGTAAAATAAGTAGAAAACCTGATTTGCCCCCAGGATAAAACCAACTCCAGTTTTGGATGACTCTGCTTGAAAACTAACCATTTTCATTAAAATGTTGTATGATGAATGATGTGGCTTTTAACATAGAACTTCAGAGCTTTAAAAACCCCTGCAGTCAATTGAAATCATGCAGCCTGCTCTTGTGATCCAGTAATTCTGGCTGCCCTCTGCTGGCCCAGATTGCAATTACATGGTAGGTTTTGAAATCTGAGAATATTGACAGTTACATTTCACAACTGATAGGAACTCCATATTTCATTGCTAAAGCCCTTGATGTTTTTTATTTGGAAGAGGAAGCCAACATTTCAACCATGTGACTTCTAAAGTGAACTTTTCCCAAACTATCAGGAACATAATCTTTTCTGACTGAAAGTAACTTATATACTGATAAATATCTTTAATGAACGACTATCGTGTCCATCCATTCACAGTAAGTCTTTACAAAAGCCTGATTATGTTAAATACATCTATATTGTAGATTATTATCAGCGTGCTTGTGATTTATTTTTTTTTTTTTTGTATTTGATTTGCTTGCAGTTAGGAAACATGTTTTGTTTTGGCTTTCAATTCAGTTATGCACATTTTTTAGCTTTAAGTGGACTAAGAAGAGTAAAAATTTAAAGTTTAATCCCATTGTTGTTCACTACTACAGGTTTTTTTTTTAACTTTAATTCTTTATAAAATATGTTTTATTTAATATCACTATGTAATTCATGACATCATTCATTTTCGGCTTTAGTCATTGGTCAGCACTACAGCTTTACACAGTGGCAGCAACAACCAAGTCTGATTTATTTAAGTGTGAATTAAATCAGACCAAAGTTTTGGTAGCAAACCACAGCAGCACCAGTACAGTCCACAAGCACTTGAGGAGAAAACACACAGGTACCATTTAGCACAGAAATCCTTCACACCTGTTCGCTCCTGTGCTCACATATACTGCATTTTAATAAAGAGGATAGTAAACCCATTCTCATTTTCATATTTTTCTGTTGCTGTTGTCAGACAACACAACTAGGATCAAATGGTGACTGAAACTCGGCTCACTAAGATGACATAATTTTCCATAAGCTCAAGTTGCATTGAAGTCAGAGTGAAAAGACAAAATAAGGAGAAACATTTGGTCTGTGCTTATAAGATATCCACCGTGTACATGTTGTACTTTGTTTAACCCTTTATAGGGAAATGAAATACTTGGAAAATGAAAATTTAAACCCTTGGGGGTTATTGAAGGATATTTCAAGATATTTTTACTTTTGTGACTTTAAACATTTCAGTTTGAGGTAAAGATGCTTACACAATCAGTAACCAAGTATTTATAAAGGGCTTGGCAAGTTCATTTAGTCACATTTTTCTTGGGGTGGTGGTATTAGTGGCACTAATCTGCAAAAATAAATTAAAGTGGAGTTCAACCAGCAACAAAGTGTTTATAAAGTCCCTGGAATATTAGTTTAGTGACATTCTTTGAAGTGATATTGGCACAAATATAAAAACTAAATCAAAGTGCACATGGTCCTTCAACCTGGAGGAGAGGCCCAGGGCGGACATATTGAACGTCCAAGGAAGTTACCAAATATGGTCACTTGCCCCATAAAGAGTTAATATAGAGACTCAGATTTTTCACCTTGCTAAGGGGTTTATGGAAACTTGGATTACTGTTTGAAGTTGCACGAGTGACTTACATATTAAATCCTACAATCATGTTGGTAGTTTGCCTCTAAAGTTTTGCGCTTCAACATGTGATTTTTTTTTTTTTTTACATTTCATGGTGTGCTGCATTACACAAAGACATATTTGCTTTACAAAATATGAAGAGAGAAGACTTACAATGCATTACAATGCTTTTTTTTTTAGAAGAAAATATACAGTTTACATTAATCGACTAATCGGTAAAATAGTCGACAGAGTTTTTAGCGGCCGCCTTAGTTTTGACCCTAACGAGCCGCCGTCCACTGAGCAACACACGTGATCCAGTCAGTTGACAGAGCAAAACACAGCAGTGGAGCAGAAAGACGGTCGACATGGACCATCACCGGATTGACAGGGTGGGCCTGCTGTCTCCTCTGGAGGAGTCCAGCGCAGAGATCAGCAGAGACAGCGGCATCGTGTCCCAGAGCGCGAGCAGTCTGTCCATGGTGAGCGAAATCCTCAGCAGCGGCACCGTGTCGCAGAGCCCCAGCTTCGGAGCCGCGGCTAACGTTATCCCCCAGAGCCCGAGCCTCAACGACGCGGCGGAGCCCGGTGCGACCGAGCAGCACGACCCGGAGGAGGACGACGAAGTCCTGCGACACGCCGCCTTCGGTTACTCTTCCTACATCAGGGCGACCGCCGGAGAGGAGGTTGGTGCCGTTAGCTGAGAGCCAGACACGTTAGCTAAGTTAGCTCTTTGTTTTTAGCTGCTCTGCTGCATTATAGTTCGCATCCACTCACAGTTTACATGTAGAATTCAGGTGTCACACTCTAACTTTGACCCCAGAATAAAGTTGTCTAGACAATCTGAATGAACTGCCGATTTATTTACAACCAGTCTAGTCAGTCAGAGAACTCCACAAAGGACCACTTGGCTTCATCCTGTCTAGACATTTGTCTGCATTTGTAGCTGCTGACATGTTTGACCGCCTCTGTCACTCCAGAGTGGACATTAAGTGGATATGCGTGATGCCATCCAGTTTATGGAGAGGCTGAGAAAGCCAGTTTACTCAGTAGGAAGACAAAAGGCCCCTGTGTGTTGACCCTGTGATTATCCCTGACACAACTTATAGGCAGTGAATAGCAGCTTGATCTGGTATGTGGGGCTGAATATGAAGCACAGAAACTGTCACACAGCTGGCGCTCAGTTGGCCCTGGACAATATGGAAATTGGTAAATTGCAAAAGCTGCATCATAGGATTAGAATCAGAGTCGAGTTTTATCTCCAAGTAGGTTTCCACATACTGGAAATTTGGCCAGATGTTTTGGTGCAGACTTTTTAAATAATGATAATGAGATTTAATGAGAAAGCAAGTGTTGTAAGTGAATTAATAATAAGTGTACCAAATCCAGGCATTTTTTCAGATATGTAAAACTAAGAAATATTTATAGAATATATGAATACCGTGTAACTAATACCATAATTCAGTTTTATTCCATTAGAGTAGAGTGGAACTCCAAGGGTTGTTGCACACATGCCGCAGAGTTTTGAACTGTTATGTCAATGGTTTTACAAAATCACACCACCCTCCTTGTGTGACAGTCACACTTTTGTGATAATATCTCATGTGGCGATGCTCCATCACATGTTTTAAATCTACTACACAGTGAATATTAAATTGAAGCTTGCCTGTAAAATTTTTTACTACAAATCTAATCACAATATTTGTCAGAAAAATCTAAATTAGATATTTTCCCTAAATCACTCAACCCTAGTAGACTCATAATCAGTAGCTATATTTTCCTCTAAAGTTTATACAGGTGTGACATTTTACCTTGTCTTGTAACAATTTTTATTTTAGATTCTGTGCTTGGAGAAGAGCTTGGAGGAAATGCTGACAAGAGTAGACGAGTTTGTTGGAATGCTGGATATGGTAAGCTAAGTCATGTTATGAAACTGTGGCACATTATGCACTGTATGTGTCACAATTTGAACTATGTGCTTAAATTGACTCTTGCATTCTTTTGTGTTTTGTGTCCAGATCCGTAACGATACCTCCCAGATAGTTAATGAAAACCTACCTCAAATCCAGCAGAAGTCAGATGAAATGAGACAAATATACAGAAGAATCGATAAGTTAGAGGTAAGCGGTTGATACTGTCATATGTCAATTATAATTTGCTGCTTTAATGCTGAACACTTGATCCAGTGAAAAGCGTCCTTTGGCTAAAGTCAACTGCAGGCACTTCCGGCACATCCCACAGATGCTCAGTCAGATTGAGATCTTAGGAATTTAGAGGCCAGGTCACCATCTTGAACTCTTTATCATGTTCCTCAACCCTTTCCTGAACAAAGTTTGCAGTGTGGCAGGGAACATTAACCTGCTGGAAGATGCAACTCGCATCAGGGAATACCGTTGCCACGAAGGGATGTATGTGGTGTAGAACAGTGTTTAAGTATGTGGTACAAGTCAAAGTAACATCCACATAAATGCCACAACCTAAGGTTTCCCAGCAGACATTCCCCAGAGCATCACACTGCCTCTACCAGCTCGCCTTTTTACATAGAGCATCCTGCTGCCATCTTTTCCCCAAGCAAACTGCGCACACAACAGGCCATCCTCATGACGTAAAAGAAGACATATTTACAAGTGATCAGGTGACACAGATCAGCCTTCAGTCCCCGCATGCATCAGTGTGCAAATGACTCTGTCACTGCCTCACTTGTTGTCCTTCCTTGGACCATGTTTGGTTTATACTAACCACTGCGTACCAGGAACAACCTGCAAAACCTTCAGCTTCGAAGATGCTCTGATTCAGTCATCAAGCCATGAAATATGACCCATGTCGAAGTCACTTAAATTCTTTTGCTTGCCCATTTTTCCTGCTTCATCAACTTCAAGAAAGTCCTGTTCACTCAGCCTAAAACCTGTCAGAGGTTTTCATGTTGTGGCTGGCAAGTCCATTTTTTGTTCATTTCCTATTTCTGTAAGCCTCTGTTGACTTACAGAGATCCAGTTCCTCTTTTAGAGTTACTTTTCCTTTTGGCTGTTGCCTTTATTTTATCAGAGACAGGAAAGGGGGAAGAAGAAAGGGGAAAGACCTGCACTAAATGATAGCGGTCAGGAGTCAATCCCACAACCGCTGTGTCGGGGACTATAGCCCCTGTTTGTGGGTCGCCGTCTTGTCCGGTTGAGCTACCGGGGCAACCCTAGTTCCTCTTTTACAGGGCTCTCTTGGTGCATTTGCAAATTTAATTTTAGAAATCTTTTTCTGTATATTTTTTCAGGTTTTTATTTATTTATTTTTTGCCATCTGTTATTTACCTTGAGTTAGTTCACTCTTCTGTCTGCCTGCCAGTAAACAAGTGCCTGAATAGCCTTTTGAAACTTCTTTTCATATTTGCGTGGTGTTATTTTTGCTGAAACTGAATGTCCAATGTAACTGTGCAAAGAATCTTGATTTTTCTCAGTGTTTTTGCCACATCATTCTGGTGTCCCTGCAGGCCTTTGTAAAGATGGTGGGCGCCAACGTCAGCGCGATGGAGGAGCAGGTCACACAGGCAGAGGGAGAACTGGGAACGCTACCGAGTGCTTTCAAGAAGATGCTGCGCACAATGAGTGTTCCAGGATTCCTAAATGTAAGAGCCCATTTGTGCAGTCGTGAATTTGTAGTTTTACACTGTATGTTTGCTTTATTGGTACTTTAAAAACATAAAATTGTGAGTTTGATGTTGTGAGTCGGGTTTAATGTGTGTTCTGTTCACTCACAGAAACCGGCCAGCCCAAGAAGACCAGCACCACATCAGCGTCAAGAGATACCCAGCGTGTTCCGGACAGATGATTATTTCACATCACAGCCAGAGCAGTGACGCACTAGAACATTGAAAACAACTTGGTTCTAACCTCAGAGGCCTGTTGGGTGAAGCTGTATAGACAACTTTTACTGCCATCCTTTGCAAGAGGATCTGTTGGTGCAGTGGCCTCAACAAAGCAATAGTAGCCTTTCTGAACAAGTCACTGGAAGTCGAGTGCGTGGAGACATTCAGCGTTTTTTGGGGGGTGTTTCCTGGCAGCAACAAGCACTGAACTGTAGCAAAATGATTTTAAAAGTGCCTAAATGGGTCTTTCTGTCAATTTTGTTTTCACTAATTGTGATGAAAACTATGTCAGATGTTAGGTTAGTGACCAGTCAGGAGTACAGAGTCATCCCCCTTGCCAATAGGACACTGTAAAGAAGGTACGTTATGAGAAGCTGTAAAGATCTTTAGATGTAATACATGAAGAATTAACCCAGCTCTTTTTATGAATTACATTCCTGTTGGTGTTTGTAAAGACCTGCACGCTGTTATGAACCGATCCGTATTTCTATATCTCTCATCACTGTCCCCAAGCAATATCGACCTTATCCAGTTAAGCTCTTGTTGTCTTCCATTTCAAAATGCTCACTTTATTTCTAGCCTTATCTCACCGGCTTCGGATGGCAGTCGCCTCACCGACGTGGGGCGACATCTTTGACGGCACCTTTTAGGGAAAAAAAGCACACTATAGATGAGTTGTTTTAGTTTCACAAACCACACTATCTTATGAATAAAAGGCTTTGCGCCAGGGATGAAGCTGTGCTATAGTTTTTAAACAGTAACTGGAGGAACTTTGGATCTCATCCTTGGGAGAAAACTGTACTTTACAGATGATGTGACGTGGCCCTTACCCTTCCAACAAGGTTTAGTCAATATGGGTGCAGCTATGATTGATTATTTGATTGATTATTTGCCAAAATAGTTGTTGAAAATATTTCATTGTTCACTTTGGTTTACGTTTTTAAAGTAATCATTAAAATTTATTTGAGACAAGTTCTTTGTTGCATACGTCATTATGATTTAGTTGCACTGAAATTAAATGATTGTTGTTTACTTGTTGTTTACTTGTTTATTTTGTTAACATGTTCATATGATGTTTTTCGTATGTGCTGGAGGACATATAAGAGAAATAAGCAGTCAACACCATGGCTGAACATTTCAACCTTAAAATTGCAGTATGTCGATTACAGTATCAAAAATACAGATTCTGACTTTCAGAGCTTTCATATGTAATGAACCTAATTGCAAGGGGTTGGGTTTTCTGTATCATAATTGTTGTTTGAATGGATCTCTGGTTCAAATATGTATTATTTTAGTAGCGTGCAGAGTTTCAGGGGAGCTGGTGTGCTCAAGCTGCTAGCAGGAGGTAGCAATGTAGGGTTACCTGTAAGCCATTTTGAGGCATTAATTGATTATTTTATGGAAATTGCCTCTAAATGTGTAGCTGTAGATGGGTTTTTGGGACTGGTGGGAGCAGGAAGAGCGCCTGAGAGGCAGACCACAGGGCACATTAACATCGTGGCACCTCATTGGTCAGTTTTTCAGCGACGTCATAAGTTAGTGACAACTCGGAGGAAGCGGGAACTCCACCAGCCTCTGTTTGATTTGTCTCCACGCTGGAACATCTACTGCTGGGAAAAGTAAGCTAAAAATGAACGAACACGGTAAAAATGTGTGAGTTAAGTGCTTTTAAAGGACGGCCGTTTTCTCACGTCTTTAACGAGACGACTTTTTATGAAAGTAAACTAGAAACAAAAAGTTGAAAACTCTGCCGGAAAAACGCTGTAGGTGCACCGTTAGCTGTAAGATGGGCCACTGGTCAACTAATGGCGTCTGTGTCGGAAGAGCCGGAACAGTTTAGTTTGATGTTCTGTTGATCACAGCTAATTTCTACAACCTTTAATACCTTATCTACGATCTAATAGACCTAAATCTCCATAGAGTCACGTTAACAGAAGTGATAACGCTGCAGAAAGCACTGCTAAACTTGTTTTTTCTATTATATTTTGTTATCACTGCACTTAAAGCACCACTTAAAAGAGCTGAAACTGTCAAAAACAGATTAAGCTGCATTGTTTTCCCTGCTCTCCCTTACATTGTAACCGATCCAGTTGTTTTTACCGGTTAAAATAGCTTTAAAGGGCCAGTTTTAAGTTTGCCACCTGTCAATAAGTGATTTGAACCTCTACATTGAGACTGAAATGATATGAATGGATCCTAACAACTTGGTTTCATTCATTGGGATCATGTTTTAAGCATTATAACCAATAGGATAATTGCAAAAGAGATCATTTCTGTATGTTATATATAAAACATCATGTTAATTATAGTTCAAACTAACGAAAAAAACTTTTGGAAACCGTAGTATTGCCTGTAATCATCCTAAATGTCAGGCCTGGTTACCCTGTAAACTGCAAACTTTGCTTTTGGACGCAAGAATTCAGTAGCAAGAAATGTTAAAGCTTCACAGAGACAAACCTTTATGATGACCACAAATATTAACTTATGTACAGATAATGATGAAGCAGATAAAAGCAGCTGTAGATGTATATAAACTAATAGAATGCCATTTTATTCCACATTAAGTAAATACATTAAATAAATTAATTGAACAAGGCCATACAGCTTTAGCATGAAGTGTGTTTCAGTTTTGACAGACCATCACTTTTTGGCACAACACTGACCATGTGTTGTTTTTTTTTCAGCTGTGTATTCACATAAGAGGCAGAGTTCAACTTTAAAGCATCAGATGGTCTCTCCAAAAGAGAACTTTTTGTGCATTTGAGAGCACGAACAAAAAATAAAACGCATTACTGAGTTTGTCTTATAATTGAATTCAGAAATTACCACATTGTCGTCCTTACCTGTGCTACTCTTGCTGGCCACTTTAATAAGTACAGCTGTGCACTGTAATGCAATCCAGTCAAATCCAAAACAGTTATGCCATAAAAATTGGCTTTTGCAAAGCTTCTACATGTTTAGCTTTTGTTGTCTTACTTGAAAAGTTGATAATTTTACTTAGTGTTTCCTATTGAAGTTGTAGTGGGTGGTGGTCATGTATTGCCATGAAATTCAGGATTTTGTAACATCTCATTTATGTTAGTGGAGCGGACAAAATATGAGGAACACTTTGAAAATGTAATGCAGCTGACCACACTACCACCTTTTTATTCACATTTTTGTGTTCAACTGAAACTGGTGAAGCTTTGCAAAAGTAACATTTATGGTGGAGCTGTTGTATTTGATTGCATTACATTTCAAGTGTGTACCTAATAAGAGACCAGTGAGTGTAAATTGATTAAATGTAGGAACACGACAGACAGTGTCAGTGTTGGGGGATGCTCAGTAAGTTAAGTTACAGCACAACAGACTTAGACATAGCTTGAAATTAAGATTTTTTTTAAATGGTCACTTTATGTTTACAGAAAGCTCTTTTTAGAGACTGTGTTCATAGATGTACGTTTAATAAACCACAATAACTGACTAACAGACTCTTCTTTTACAGATTCAAAGCTTCACATATGGCGTGTGAGAAAGAAATATGGCAAAAGATCGGAGAGGGCTTTGTCCAGGAATATTATAACCAGTTTGACAATACCAACAGGATGGGACTTGGGAACCTATATGTAAGCACTGTGAAGTGTCCGTTTAGTTATTGCCTGTTTACAGCAGCATCAGCTCTGTTGTAAATACTGTGATGCATGATAAAATGATTGTGCATGCATTTGATGTAAAAAAAAAAAAAACAAAAACAAAAAAAACCCATTCTTTTTCTTAGGCTCCTGAGGCCTGTTTGACATGGGAAGGATCACCTTTTCAAGGAAGAGAAGCCATCACTGGCAAGCTAGCAGTAAGTTTTTAGCTGGTTGATGTTAACCAGAATTCACAAAGAAACTGACTTTTTTCTGTTCTTTTTCCTGTATTTCTAAACCTCATCAGGGAGATCATATTTTATTGCTTTGCTTTAAACAACCCCCCTCTTTATTTTCTTTTACAATACCAATGCCACATGATTGTTTTTCCAAGATACTGCTGTACATGCCAATAAAAATACTGTTTCTAATTCACAGAACCTGCCTTTCAAGCGTATTAAGCACATTATCACAGAACAAGACTTCCAACCAACAATAGACAGTTGTATCCTCATCATGGTGTTTGGACAGCTACAGGTAAGCTTGTAAAATTTACCTGATTACCCCGAGTGTGCACTTGATCCACAGACATGCCACCATCAGCTGTCTCTTTCTAGTGCTTTTGTGATTTATGTGTATTTCTGCCATTTTAGCTGTTGTTTTTTTTCATGATTAATATATCGGTTATTTCTTTCTGCAACAGGTAGATGATGATCCACCAATGGCCTTCCATCAAGTGTTTATGCTGAAGTCCCAAAACTGTGCGTGGGCGTGCACAAATGATGTGTTTCGGTTGGGAATACACAACATACCAGTGTAAAAAAAAAATAAATATCTGGGTTTACTGGCTCACACACATTGAGGTCCAGCTTTGAATTTATACTGTAGACAAATTTGAAAACAGGGAATTGTATGTAAAGTTCCTCCATGTTTACAACACATCATTAAGCATGCTTTTTTTTTTTTTGTAGTAGATATGTCATTTGCCAAATCACATTCCTATCCAACTAAAGAATTTATGACTCTGGACTACTGTTGTCTTTTCTTCCTCTGCCAAATAACTGCGGTTGTTGTACGCCGCATGACGAAGGCTGTATAAACGATGATAACTAATAGCGCAAGTGAAGTGAGCAAGCTGTAGCTGAGAGCCTGTGAAGTCAGTCAGTGATGGGTAGGGATTGATTACATGTACATGGAATTATGTAATCACATGACCACCATCTGTGTGTCAGTGTGTGTGAATGGATGAATGAGAAATGCATTGTAGGGTGCTTTGGAAGCAAAGATTAACAGACTGCTGAAGCATTTACTGTTACTAAAATTAGGTAGCCCAGATTATATACAGCATACAACAAAAATAGGGCACAAAGTCATTACAAAAAATAGAATTAAAAAAAGAAATATTAATTGTATGGTGTAAGAGCAAGAGTAAAGATTATATAGTACTGTGCAAGAACAAGATTTCAGTGTATAATAATAATAATAATGATAATAATAATAATAATAATAAAGGTCTAATTTGTATTTAGTTATTGAGTAAATGTTAAAGTAATCTGGTACAAGTGTGGACATGCCCGTCTTTCGGTAACACGCTTTTGTAAGCAGTTTTGTAACAGCTGCAGTCCATAAAGTGGCCGCTAGAGGCGCTGCTTCCCTCAGTCAGTGAAAGTGGCCGACCTCAGTCACTTTAAATGTTAAACCTCCACAGCTACAGCTACATTCACAACACGAGGACGTGGTATGGGGTTACTGGAGAACTAGAAGAAAACTAATTCAGCCTCCGAATGACACCGACGGTGAAAAAGCCCTCTGTCCCGGAAATGGATTTATTGAACATTAGTCGACAGTCCGATAACGTTAAAGAAACGGTGAGTGATTCAGTCAAGCTAGTAGCTACAGCATCCAGTATGTAGGGCAGAAACTAAGGTGACGGCTGTAAGATTTTGGGTTATGTTTTAACGTTACCTGACAAACCACCTAGTAGTGATTAATTTTAGCCTTGCTTCGTTTAATAGTTACATTTCTTGAACATTTAAGGCTAACGACGAGCTTAACTGTTCAACTGTCCTTGCCTGCTCGTGTTAGCTCTGAGGATCGATGTATGGCGTCGGAGGAAATAACACAACCGTGAAAATTGAGCTAGAATATTTTTTAAAAAATGTCACCGAAAGGTAGGGAGATAAATGCTTTCAATGTAAACACATCGTAAAACCCACTGTTTTGTAAACATGTAACTGTCATGTCCTTTGTTTTGTTAACACGGAATGCGCAAGCGCACTAAGAAGTTCTGTACTTAAAGGACCAATCCGTAATACATTTGTTTAACAGTCCATAAAGTTATAGCAAAGCAGAACCTAAACTGTCTCTGACTCTTTGCAGAACGCCTTGAAAGAGAAAGATACAGACTGCCAAAATGGTTCGGACACAGAGGAAGAACCTTTGCTCAGAGAGAACCCCAGACGGTTTGTCATCTTCCCCATCCAGTACCCAGAAATCTGGAAGATGTACAAGCAGGCCCAGGCCTCTTTCTGGACGGTGGAGGAGGTGGGTGTTGCAAACATTTGTGTTTCACTGAATGACACCTGTCCAAGCAGCCAGCTCTGCTAAATACAGAAATGATTTTAAGGTTCTTCTGTGTATTTATAACGCTATGGGTTGTTGCCTGGGTGCGTTTGAGAACTTCTGTGCCCCCGACTCTACCTCAAAGCCTCTTACATCCTCATAACAGCTGCTGTTAACTGTTCAGCGATCAAGGCTAGTGGCTAACGTGTTACCTGTCCTCTAGCATGTACTAAACATTGGCCAACTCAGCCAAAAACGTGCTACACGAATAAACTTTATTCGATTAAAAATGAACTTACTAAATCCATTGTGCAGTCAGTCTGGTGAAGGTAAAATAAATACCTCCCATGTAACTGAAGGGAGGCTGTTGTATAAAAGCAGCGGGAACAACATTGTATTGAGGTTTTAACACAAACTTACATGGTTTAATATCCAACACTGTAATGGGACTGGTCACCAAGATATCTTTGGAGGTGGTCTCTGTTTATTCCGCCAAAGACGGGGTAAATAATAGAATCCTCTGGTCAAAAACAGTCACCATCTGGTGCTTTTCAATGGAATACATTAGTTAAACGGGGTGTGTTGTATTTAACACATTAAAATACAGAAACATACCTGCTAAAGGTATGTTACCAAAGAGCTAAAGATTCAAATCCTTCTGTCAATTATGGTCACAAACTTTTTCCCACCGCACAAATAACATCACACAATAAGTTTAAGCTAACAAATAAACTAAAGGTGTAAACTTTCCTTGTATTGACTTTTTTCATCTCACATGTTAGTCTACTTATGTGAAACTATTAACATGAAATTTGTATAACACTGCATATTGTATTTATACATTTTTTATACATATTGCTGCTACATAATTGACTCTGTTACATACGTACATGTATTTGCTCATCTAATGATGAATTAGGGAATTTCCCCCCACAGTTTGCCATCACAGGAAATGTCTGAGCAACCGATGCGTCAGTTGTACTGTTGGTATTGTGTCTTTCAGGTTGATCTATCCAAAGACTTGGTGCACTGGGACTGTTTGAAGCCTGAGGAAAAACACTTTATCTCTCATGTTCTGGCCTTCTTTGCTGCCAGTGATGGTATCGTCAACGAGAACCTGGTGAGAGGGGGTTAGAGGGATGTCTCTCAGTTGTAGCAGGTGTGTTGTAGCTTGAATAAAGAGAATAAAAGATGTGTCAGTTCTCTAATACACCCACTAAACAGTAAGGCTTTGTAGAGTCAAAGCAATGTATTAGTAACTGAAAAATAAAATAAAGAGCTCAGGTTAGTTATGTTCCAAAGCCATCAGTAAGTATTTCTTGAACCTGCAAAATGTACTTCTTTGAAAAATAACCTGATTATCACACTCGATGTGTTTGTTAATGTGAATATAAATGGCATCCTAACTGAAATGTGGTCTACTCATTGTGGCTCAACTGTTTTTGTCTCAGTTTTGAGTTGTACACACAAAGAAAAACTTGGGTATTTGTGTTTTATCTAACAGGTGCAGAGGTTCAGCCAGGAAGTGCAGATCCCTGAAGCACGTTCCTTCTACAGCTTCCAGATCCTCATAGAGACTGTTCACTCCGAGATGTACAGTATGCTCATCAACACTTACATCAGAGACCTGAAGGAGAGGTCAGTTACCTAAGATAGTTCTGACTAACTTTTACACCAAGCAGGTTTCAGGCCAGATTTGATCAATTTTTCTATTAGTTTTTGGAATTTCTTTTTATTTATTGTAATTTTTTTTTGTGATTATGACGGCACGAATTCTAATACTGCTGCAGTGAGACACAACTGTCAGCTTAGCTATTTTTTGAAGATTTCAAACAAACTGTAAGACCTGCACCTGTTCTTTGTAGGATAAGTCAACGCCACGCTGTGTTGATTTCCGTTGTATTCTCAGCTGCAGCAGCTCTGATGTACCCGCAATCTAGAAATACAGAAATTTCATGCAGCAACAAGCTATGTACGGTGCCTAGAAAAAGTGTTTGAACTTAATGGGTTGTTGCTCTATATCGATGCATCTTGTTGCCTTAATTAGACGTCATCATCTGGTAAAATGGAGGTTAGACAGTAGTGTTAAAGCTCTCAAGGACATTTATCAAATCAAATTAAATGACCATAAGGGAGAAATGTAATAAATACATCTAGGAACATTAACTCTTGTTCGCAGACTAGTTTTCCAGATTAAAAAAAGTTTGTAGTTTGTTATTGGATATGAATTAAACATGAACAAGACATAGGGACTTTCTGAGCACTGGATATGTTATGCATGCTTGAACTCGTAATGTTAAATGGTTTCTAATCAGTTATAACATATGTGTCTTAGGGACTATTTGTTTAACGCCATCCAGACCATGCCCTGTGTGAGACGGAAAGCAGACTGGGCCCTCCAGTGGATAAATGACAGCAAGTCCACATTTGGTGAGGAAGACATGACAATTAACACAAGATACTAAATATAGTGAACAACCCTGGTCTCAAGGAACTTCTCATTTTTGGTGTGTTAACTGTAATTTGGACTTTTGTGGCCCCAGGGGAGCGAATTGTGGCTTTTGCAGCTGTGGAGGGCATCTTCTTCTCTGGTTCATTTGCTGCCATCTATTGGCTAAAGAAGAGAGGCCTGATGCCTGGTCTGACCTACTCCAATGAGCTGATCAGCAGGGATGAGGTGAGATAAATTAACATCTAAAAATACATGTAGTCTAATGTGTTGAATGGACCCTTCAGGTGTGAGTGCAGCTGCAAACTCTTCTATACAAAGTTTAAAAAGTGTCTTTGTTGCTCTTGAGGTAGTTTGGATGCTAAATGTCGCGACTGTTTGCATGTGAGTACTGATTCTGACACTGTTCTGACATGTGCATTGTTTCATTTCCTAGGGTCTGCACTGCAACTTTGCCTGCCTGCTGTACAGCTACCTGGTGAAGAAGCCATCAGAGGACAGAGTTAAGGACATCATCACCAAAGCTGTTAGCATTGAACAGGTTGGTGGAAATACGCCCAACCAAAACTACACACTGATAGTATACGTCTGCTACTTGTGTACCATTTACTTTGTCAGTGTTGACTCACCTAGTAACAGAACAATTACAGCTCGTTAATTTTTGATTTTCATTTCTATTTTTAAAGAACAAAATCTTCTGTTCTGTAAACTGTACATTTACTGATCCCGTGTGACGTTGCAGGAGTTTTTGACAGAGGCCCTGCCCGTTGATCTCATCGGGATCAACAGCTGTCTTATGAAGCAGTACATCGAGTTTGTGGCTGACCGGCTACTCGCTGACCTGGGACTGGCCAAGGTAATTCTATGAAAATAATTGTAAAATAGGTGTAATTAAGGCTAAATAACCAGTAATATTCAAACTTTCTTTGTGCAGTGGTAGCTGCTATGTTTAAAAAAAAAAAGAAAGAAAAAAAGACATTTAATTGCTTCTGCACATCATCTGATTAAAGAAATATAATAAAATAACATGGGAATAGTGTAAATAGATGCTGTGATATGTTTACTGTGACTGGAAATAACCCTTCTTTCTCTTCTTCTGTTCTTATTTTCTTTAATCCAAGATTTACCAAACTGAAAATCCGTTTGACTTCATGGAGTCCATTTCGCTAGAAGGGAAAACCAACTTCTTTGAGAAACGAGTTGCAGAGTATCAGAGATTCGGAGTGATGTCGAGCATGATGGACGATGAATTCACACTGGATGCCGACTTCTGAAACCGAGCCGACCTTCTGTTTTATGTTTGTTACATTTCACTTATTTATTTACATTTGTTTAGGCAGTTACTGACCAAAACTACCTACAGTACTGTGTCAATACTGTCATAGTTTCACAAAAATAATGCTGTGCTCGTTACTTTTCTGGCATAAAAGGTAGAAAATTCCACCTCCAGTATTGTTTATATAATAGGGAGAATTTATTGGGGATATAAAGAGCTGACTTGTGACTGTTTGGATGTTGACATACAACAGAAAACTAAATGATATAAAGATAAATGATGAATGGGCGTTTCATAGAGTTTGTAGTTCTGGCTTCTACGGTATATTGTTTTAACATTTTGTCATTTTAATGTAAAATAAAATGTTTTGTAAGATGTAAATAGTTTCTTTCTTGTATGTTAAATGTATTATTACTGAATTATGTTCCTACAGCAGCCTTCATCTCTAGTTGCAAATCAATTACAACTACATGACATTGATATGAGTACATTTATTAATTATGCTATTAATACTGACTTCTTGTGGGTCACAGGCAGTGTTTTATTACCGCGGACTGTAGTTTCACTGAGATTTCTCCCAGCAGTCAGATTAGATTAGCCACTCCTCCGTTAGCATACGGATGCTGGAAATGATAGCTAACAGCTAGTGTTTACGCATTTTAGGAAAGATGGCTGGGGACTTGCAAGGTTTTGCGCTGGAAAAAGCCGAGCTGCTTTCCAGCCGTTTGAAGGAGCTCCTGTCTTCGGGTCAGGGATATGTCCGGGCTCAGTTTGGGGTGGATTTGGGTCTGAAGCCCGAGCTGTACCCGACCTGGGTCATCCTCTCCACGGCCGCGGTGGGTCTGCTGCTGCTGCTCGGTCTGTCCAGGGCCGCTGTCTGCGGCGGGCTGCTCGTCGGGAAAAAGCGGGGATCCCCGGTCACACAAGGCAGCGGTGATCCCGGCAAGGCCACCTTTGTTAAAACTGCCAAGCCAGAAGAACCGAAGAAGAGGAACAAAAAGAAAGCGCCTGAGAAGGTACAGCAGGTAGTGTTGAGGAGCTGTCGAATCACGGTGGCTCAGTCATGACAGGCTACTCATTAGTGGATCCACAAACAGTTAACGCTAAACCAAAGTGCTCCCTCTGTTAACTAGCTTAATTCAAACGTTTATCCCTGTTTGTTATTTTAATAATAACAGCCGTGAAGTTTGAAGTCAGTTAGCAGGCTAACCTGGCGATCTCACATAGCATGAATTAGCGTTAGCTAGCATCACAGCCCGCTTTGTTTACACAACATAAATTAAGCCATCCAGGGACAATCCCGTGACCCACTTAAAATGACATAAATACGGCACTGAGCTAAATGCTAATGTCTAGAAAGGGATGTTAACTAGCTGCGTTTGTAGCCCACTGACACCTCACTGACGGCGGCTAAGCTAGCTGGTTGACACGTTATCATTAGCCAACACGTTTAAAATCACACCTGGAGCATTAACTTTTTTTCTTCTTATGTCCGCTTAATAAATTGTAGTTAAAACGTGTAAATTGCGTGTGTATTTGTTTGTTTTAACTCTTATAAGAACAGCTGCTATCAACTTGTTCTTCACACGGAAATGCCAGCTACTATGAGAAACAGACCATTCAGTCCACAGCACTCATGTGTTACTATACAGTCATATAGAGATTATCAGCTACCAAACAGGTCATGCTAGCTGTAGATGTAAAGAATTATAGTTTTATAAAAGTGTATTACGTGTGAAATACCCCCATGTTCATGTATCAGTCTGGTGGAAGTAAAGCTCATTAATAACTAGAGTTTTCTGTAAATAAAACACATGAATGAGAAGGCAGGTTGGTTGGGTTTTTGTGTATGAATTCCTAGATTGGAACATTGTGTTGTTTGTCTGATGTCCGTCTTTCTCCTTTTCAGAAAACTCAGTCCAACGGACAGCCAGTAACTGTGGCCCAAGAGGAAGTTAAAGTGACTGAAGCAGTTTCCAAGCCCACACCGCAGATTAAAGCTGAAAAAGTAAGACCAGGAATCAAAAACAAAAACTGATAGTAGTTGTAGTAGCAAGTTTTCCTTTTGACTTAATTCTCATGAGGTGTTGCAAGACAGTTTCGTTATTAGCAAAGCGTTTCTGAAACTCCGCTGCCACTCCTTATCAGATTTGCCACGTGGCATTGCTTCCAACGACTATAAATTATGCGTATAAATACAATGACCTTGTTGTTTAATTGTCTGTGCGCAGGTCCACGAGGTACAGGCCCCAGCGCAGGTGAAAAAGAACAAGAAGAAAACCAAGACGGAAGTGAAACCAGTTCAGCATGTGCCTACCAACGATGGGAAGGAGCCTGATGATGGTAAATCTCAACTGATGTGAAGGAAATGTCAAACTGACCGTTCAGGTTTTACTGGTACATGTCTCTCATGTTTAGCCTCACTTTCTAGATTTGTCTTTCAGTTTCCTTGTTCTCGCAAGCATTTCTGAATGGAAGAAGACTTTATTTGCCACAAATACATTACAGCCCTACAGTGACAGCTTGTAGGGGCTTGAACCCCCGACCCACTGATCCGACCCAGAGCCACAACTGCCCCATTAATGATAGAAATGATCAAATTTAATCAGAAATCAACTATCTGAAATACTATTTAATTACTGTCTTGAACACCAAGTTACTCAAGCATTCTGTGTTGCTTTGTTTGTCAACCAGGTGCGTGGGAGACCAAAGTCAGCAACCGAGAAAAGAGGCAGCAGCGCAGGAAGGAAAAGGGCTCTGAGGACTCTGGCAGTCCAGGAGGTGTGGAAGCCCCCAAAGCCCACATGGAGGCACCTGCAGCCACAGCACCTACTAAGAAGAACAGAGGAAACCATGGTGCTTACCCAGAAGGAACACACTTTGTTCTGATGTAGTTTCATTTAATGTAATATGCAGTCTTGATATGAATAGTCCTCTCATAAACTCAGATAGGAATTATCTTGTAATATTGCATGTCCACTAAAGCGATTTTTTTCCCTCTAAACTTGTTTCAGAGTCCCTGCATTCAAGAGCCACTGGGAAGGCAGATGTAGCCAGTGGAGCTGGTAAAGACAAAGCTAAAAAATACTGTGTGTACATTTATTTTCCCGATAAAAGATTTAACTACTTACAAGATAAGATGAAGGACGTAATTTTAAAGCTGTCATGCGTAAAAATCTGTGGCAGTTCATGGAAAATTGTACTTTATCTCGCTGGGAACTCTATTGTAAATAAACATGCCTTCAAACAGCAGTTCCAAAAGTAATTACTGTGGTCTGAAAGCTAATTTTCCTACTAAGAACTCCACTGGCATATTTTCAGTAATGGTTGCTGCTGACTGACATGTTTTTTTCTGTTTGCTGCCTTCTCAGTGTCCTCCAGCTGGAGAGAGGAGCCTTCAGTCAACGGTGGAGGCTGGACTGATCTCTCCATGAAGATCCCGGGTCAGATGGGTTCTATGGAAGGAGCCAAATGGAGCACCATCCCCACAGCTTCTCATTACAGGACCCAACCTGAGCCCCAGCCGTGGGTGCAGGAGTCACAAGGTACCGTCTACACCTGGGCAGAACTTTGTTCACCACAAATACTGATAGTGTAGTCGAGCACGGTGCAGTCTGTCAGCATGAGGGCAGTGAGATTTAATAGCTTGATGTCTTCTTAACACATTAAATTTGAAGTGAAAAATGATTTTCAGATGAAAGTGCTGACGGTGGGGTGACCCAATTGCTGAGTGGTTAGGGGACACGCCACATGTGTAGTGCACTCACACAACTGCTGACTCTCAGATATGAAGGTGTCTAAAAGTAGTCACATTCACTACTGGTGACGCTAATGCCCTAAAACCTTCCAGCTATAATCACATTTAGATCTACAATGTGAGCCATGTTCTCATCATGTGAGATAATGTGTCCTTAAAGCCATTTTTTTCACCATGCTCTGGTGTCCAAACAGGCCACCGTAACAATGAACGCAATCAATTTGGTGACTGAAATTTTACAAAAGAAAAAAAAACCCACAAAGATTAATATTGAATTTAATTTTACTGTTTCATTTACAAGGTCCTGTGCAACTGAGCCACCTGCTGGGCCAATGTGATATTGCAAGAAAAAATGAAAGTTGATTAGAAGTTCTATCAGTGTACTGGTAGAACTAACATTTGGTGAACTAGTAAAATTATCCATCCATCCATTATCTTTACACCGCTTAATCCTCACTAGGGTTGCGGGGGGGGTGGAGTCGAGTCTATCCCAGCTGACTTAGAGGGGTAGGAGCAGGGGTAGGGCTGGACCCCAAATAGCTGAATAGCTGACTAGTTGTTCGCTGTTCGGGAATCGGGATATCAATTTTGATCTCTGAATAATCCACCGCAGCAGCAGCCGCCACCGGATACAGTGCGGTGACCGCTTGTGGCTGATGGCGGAGACGCCCGCTCACTCCTGCCCCGACCTTCTTGCTGTGAGGCAACAGTGCTAACCACTGCTCCACTTTGCAGCCCAACTAAATAATTGAAAGTCTAAATTTAAATTAACTGCTGCCTCAACAGAGATTCTCCTAAATATATAGACTTAGTAAATATTCTGCTGGGTTATTTTATTTCAGCAAAAACCCTTGTCCTTTGTGTAGATATCCAACAATTTACTGTAAACCAAGCAAAAGGCAATGCACGTGACATGACGGCACTGAAATTGCCCAAAGTCAAATAAAGATTTAGGCCAATCTTTGATAAAACCAAAGTGAGGTGTTCAATGTAGTCATGATTTAGCTGGATTTGATGTCTGGGTGTGTAGACATCAGTGGGGAAACCTTGACAAATGCTACAAACATTGTAGTTCTTGCTTCAATTTTTTGAAAAGAAATCTAGACTGTTCATGCCAAATCTTAGCTGTGCTGTTTGTTTGCCAGAACAGCATTCCACCAACATAATCTCACTTTCTGTGCTCCGTCACCAGCAGCATGGACTGGAATTGATGGCCGGATAAAGCCTGACCTCAACCCCGTGTCCTTCTCCATGCTGGGACTAAACACCACAGGTTGGTACTGAGGTTAACTGCCAACACTTTCACCCACCACACTCTGCTCCCTGGATGTGTTCTCTAAAGAAGGTCTAATGCTGTTTTGCTCCACTTCAACAGCCTCTAGTGTTGTTATAGTCACGGCTGGATTACTGTTTTTAACTCCCTCACATTTTTAACCACCTTCTGTCTCTTGTAGAGCGCATATCAAATTCAATTGAGCTGCAGTGGGCGAGCCATGTGGATGATCAGTGGTCAGGATTCAGTAAGTAGCCACACGTCACCCCCTCCTCAACAACAGCTCCTTGTTTAAAGACAAAGCATCATTTAGGGTTTTCTTATATCTGACTTCCATGTGTTTAATGTGATTTTTTATTTATTTTTAGACGGCATGGCAGCAGCAGATCCCAGCTCTGACTGGAATGCCCCAGCAGAGCACTGGGGAAACTATGAGGAGCCTCCTGTTCTGGTGACACCAGCTCCTCTGCAGAAGGAACAACCGCTACCCAACAAGGTTTTAATATTTTTTTACATTTGCATGGCTGTTAATAGTGTACATTTCTAAATCATCCCTAATCAAGACCTCAGTAGACTTTAACAACTTTTTATTTATTTAATAATCTGTCAGCAGGTAAATTTTCATCTGAAATACTTTGAATGTGTTTTTGTTACGGCAGGTGTCAGAGGACGAGAAGGACGCTGAGGATCCATCTGGAGGAGCCTCCAAATCTAAAAAGAAGAGGAAAAAGAAGAAGAAAAGCGAAGAGGAAGCTGCATCTGAGGCTCAGGCAAGAAACGAAACACTGAGCCGTTGAGATCAGCATCTTGCAAAACATTTTTATCTGTTTGGTTGTGGTCACATCAAACGTATTAACCTCCTGTAACGTAATGCCGTTGCTTTCGTTTGATTGCAGAAGGTGAGCACAGCGCCGATAGTCAATGCGGCGCCCAAACTCCAAGAGCTTCCTGTGCAGTCCTCCAAAAAGCAGAATACCAGCATATCCTCGTCTCAGAGTAGGTTCTGACTTCAAATCTGTGAGAGACTTTAGTAAAAACTGTTCATAGCTGTGCATTTAATCCCTTTTCTTTCCTAAAAATGTACTTAAAGCACAAGCTGTAATTAATGTCCGTATGTTCAAAAGGATTTTGAAGGACGTGGTTCTAAATGCAGCCTCCTCAGTTTTTTTTCTCCTTTTCTATCTATTTGCAGAGAAGTCTGAGCAGACTGTGGAGCCTCCGAAACCCTCCCAGAAGAAAAAAGTCCGAAGAGAAACATGAAGTCACACCACAGGTCCAAACAAAGCATATGCAAATGATTGTTAAAAGTGTCACATGCAATAATTACCAGGTACAGTGTCTTTCCGAGATACATTAACAGTTTATCAGTTACAGAAATGAAAACAAAGCAAGCAGTAGATATCACCTGCTTGGCTAAATATAGCGAAGAAATGTAGTCCTATGGACTGAAAACTTAACTAATTTGCACTATTTGCTACACTGCAACCAGAGTGGAGTTTCAGGTCAGGTGGACTTTTAGTGGAGGTACATGTTTAATGGCATCAGAGGTGTTTCTGTTTTTATATATTCCTCCTCCAAGACTGTATGTAATTGTTAACCCAAAATTACAAAACGGGTTTTAATTTTATTTTTTGTTGTGTGAAATTTTAAGTTTAAAAAGAACCATACGTAATTGTTCCCCAGAATGTTGCACTTTGTTTTGTTTGCAATGCTGCTGCCGCTTTATGGATTACTGAGATGTTCTGGAGCAGAGTACAAAGGGTTTTATTCAAAAATATCTCAATATGACACTCACATGACCTCTGAAATTTATGGATATTTTCCAAAGTAATGGTCTTTTTTGTACAAAAACCCCTCTTTGTGTTTCTCCAGACAGTATTTTCTTGCCCTGCTGTGCTGGAGGGATACTCTGTGATACATTTACATGTTAATACCAAGACTTGATTCGGCTGTTCTTAAACAAATAGTTTCACCTGATGTCTTTTTTTTCACCACACAAGGGCACTGTATCTATAATCAAATAAAGGCATTCCAACACAACCGATATGAGCAGGAAGAATGATTAGTTATCCCGAACTCTCTACATGGCATGTGAGTGTTGTGTTAAGATAGCTTTGTTTATCTTTTAATGTCATATTCCCTAAAACTGATGCTTTTATGTAACAATGACACCAAAACGCTGGCTGCTTGTAGGATACGTAGGTTAAAGTGAATGGCAGCTGTAACGTGGTCTATGTCAGTTACTGTGGTGTTCAAAAGACCACAGAAACTTCTCCACACAGTCATTCCTGCTGCAGCATAATCCACCTTTTCATCGTCCATCCGTGCAATTGTATCCTCCAAACACTTTGCTGAAATATGGTTAAATACACTTCTGTCTGTGCCTTTGTGTTTTCGGGAGCGAGATCGCAGGAAGCTGTGGATTTAGCCTGATTCTGTTGGAACCAGCTGACCATTTGCAAAAAAAATGGAAAGCTCATAGGTTGTAATTTCTTTTTAAGGGAGACAGCAGGGATTTTGACATAAACTGATTTTGGATTTACACCGAGGATTAGTTGATGTTCCCCCTGAGACCACAGTAACTGATATGAACCACCAGGAGGCACTGTAATCCGAAGTTTAAGGGGTTGAGAAGCAGTAACGCTGTTGAAGTGTCTCCCTCTGCTTTTATCATCATTATCACCACGAGAATCTTTATCTGACTAGATTTTATGTTGATTTTTCTGCACTCCATTTGTGATTTCTTTTAAATTAAAAACCATTTCTTCCTGTTTTGTGCTAGAAAAAGCCATGCCATATGTACAGATTGTAAGGGCTTTTTCCAGTTCTGTAACTGCACTGTGCAAAAGGCTGTACTGAGTTCCTTTTGATGTCGATGAATTGTTTTTACTAACTCTTGCGGAATGTGAAATGTGTAAGTTTTTTTGGTTTTTTTTGAGTTTGTACTTGACTTCCGAGATTTATGACGGGGAGGTGAAATGTTTTTGACTTAAACTGAGAATGAAAACGTACATAGAGCAGCTTTAATTCCACATCCAAGCTGGTTTTAAACAAGATATTTACACACACACACACACACACACACATGAACAATTACACATATACAAAAGGAATTTAATTCCATTGCCTTAACCTGTAGTTGTATAGAAAGTGCATTGGAGTCCTTTTTTATAGCTTCCATCCAATTGCAAGTTTTGATGTCAGAATTACTTTCATTTTTGCATGACTTTGATAATAGTACTCGTGTACATGAAAATGAAATGATCAATCTTTTGCTTTAACTGTTAGTACTTGGTCCTAGAGTACCACTCAGTATATATACTGTAATAGCTTTCTGTAAAGAGACAAATTGCAGCTTTTTCTGTGGGCATCCAGTTTAGAGGACTTTATCATGTTCTTCTGTTTTTGTTTTGGTTCCTGTGGGCAAAGAGCCTTAGTGCATCAAGGTGTCGATCAACTGGTGGTGGTGGTAGTTGTTGGTAGACCTGGTAGATCACAGCGGACAAAATGATGTGTCACCGTGGCTTCAGGTGCCCTTTCGTTCAGTTTTTACTGATGAGTAAAATTGTTCAATCAATGTATTTATATACTTGTCTCTAGGAAATGGTTTTTGTGAATGATTTTGTTTATCGAGGAGATACAAATGATATTTCTATGTTTGTTTGGTAAAGATGAAAATTAAAAGACAAATGCTTGATATCACATTGTCACTGTAATATTTTATCCACCCTACGGTTAAAAAAATAACCCGAGTGACATCCACATAATACAGAGCAGTGGTTCTCAAACTTTTTGAGCCTTGACCCCCAAGATAACAAAAGTTTGTGTTTGTGACCCCCCAGTTTGAATTTTTAATATATCACGAGTAATAACTTTGTTGTTCATGTATTAATGCATTAAAAACGAATGTGTTATTCCACAGATTAATCTCTTTACATTAACACGTTAATTTTCTTTTGAATAAATGACTGAATTGAATTTATTTCGAACAAATGAAAGGAAAAAAACAAAAGAAAATAATTTTAAAAAGAGCAAAAAAGAATAATATCATATAATCAAATCATAATATTAACAAGTCCGAAAAAGGAACTGAAACAAGTATACACTTTTAATTTTGACAGCCCTAATACAAATTTGTTTCATAAATGTAGGCTTTAGTTTATGTTTATTTTTGTTTTTTGTTTTTTTACAATGATGTGGCGACCCCCTGAAATGATCTTGGGACCCCCATGGGGGTCCCGACCCCCAGTTTGAGAATCACTGATATAGAGAAAGGGGATTTTACAAGGTGTTTGGGGATTCTGTGGGCAAGATTAGGTGTTTATTAATAATTACACTCATTTTAATTATATCTCTGCTACAATAACCTTTAAATATGAATTTAAGGCTTATTCTTGTAGCACCACTCTTCACTGGTGCTTTACCTCCGTGCACGTTTTCATGTTCGTTGTCCATCTAATCCCAAATCTGTGATAAATACAGCACGGTTTCGCTGCGTGCTATAGTGCGCATCTGTGTCAGTATAGCAGGCCTGAGGCAGGCCCAGTTTGCAGTGACCCTCCTGAGGCCGAACCGCTGCCTCAGTCAATGTGGCGAGGCAGTCGCGTGGCACGCTTACACAGCCTGACCTCCTTCGCCTCATCCCTCTCTCCATCCCTTATCTCTCAGTTCATTTAGGATTTACCAGCTTTTAATCTCCCACAATCTCTGGCTCACTGTCCATTCACCTTCATTTCACTGGGATTTTTTTTTTTTTTTTATTCTTCCCTGCCTGCCGGGGGGACTGTTGTGCTTATTTTTTTCTTGTTTGGGTGTATGAAAAGCAGATATATTAATGGTGAAGGTCACTCTGTGATGGATGGTACTGTGTTTGCTCAAAGCCCTGCTAGGAAAATGAACTAATGCTGTTTTATCTAAAGTGCCCAAGTCTGAAACCCACGGGCTTTATATGTTCGCATGCTAACACAAGTAAGACATAAATACATCTATTTATTTAACCCATTACGTTTTAGAAAACAGGCTGCTTTGTATTTCCGGTCATTACGTCAGAGTCTGTACATAAAACCTCCGACAGTCAATGTGACTGTCACAAATCTTTAAGACTGGATGATGGACCACGAGTTTGAGATTTTGTCTTCGTGCTGCGTTCCAGCATTTTAAGAGGTGGCAGTCTGGTCTGTATTAAGTCATGGCAGGAGAGGAAAATCCCCTAATGTGACGGTGATGCGGTCCGCCCACCAGGGCTTAGAGCTGCGGTCACTGGCCCATCTGTCACGCTTGGTCCGGGATGTTCGCGCAGTCAGAGAGACGCAAACTGACATTAAATGAAGTCTGGTGTCTCGTTCAGGAATTGATGAAGTTCATTGATGTATATTTGTTTCATTCATTTCCTTCAGACAAGTAACAACACTGCTGTAATTTGAGTTGAATTATCTGCTGTCAGTAATAAATCAAGCCAGGTTATCCTTATTTGGCAGCTTATTTAAAGAGGCTGTGAGGGAATCTGAAGCAAACAGGAACTGGTGGGTCTTTGTTAACCCATTGTTCCCCAGATTTACTGTGAAGTTAATCACACTAACATATTAATTTAGAAATAGGTACGATGAAAGCACAAAATAGTTTTAAATATTGAGGTTCCTAAAACATGAAGACGGGGCCTTAAAATCTTATGTAGCAGCACCTGCCTCAGCCTATCATCTCAGTTCATATTGTGCCTCAGTTGTGTATTTTTTTTTTTTAATTCTCTCAAACAGAGTTACAAGCCAGTTGCCCACTCATGTAACAGAGTTCATGGGAACCTTCCAGAAAGTTTCCCTCCTCTCCTGGTTTGTAATCTGGTCTTGTATTAGAGATGAGCAGCTAAAACATGTTCAGAATTTCCTGCTGCCTATGTTTTTAACATGTTAAGTGCTGCATTTAAGGTCTAAAGTGACACATTTCTTTGACATCTGCTGAGATTTAATCACTGGAAACAACCAGAAGTGTCTGGTGATGCTTAAGGCTGCATTTTCTTTCAACGTTTTCTTCATGTGGCAGGTTAGAAATGGGAGTCAGCAGCAGCAGAAAGAGAAAATGGATGAGAGTAGCTCCCACCCAGTTTTGCTGTGTAATGAACAAAATCTGCTGTGAACCCCTCATCATAGTTTATGGAGTCAGTACCGTTTGAATTTAAATTATTAGAGATGACAAGAGATGAAGTTATCCAGCATTTTAGCAGTATGCTCTATTTCATTACACTTTTAGCTGTATTGAACTTGTCCAACACATATAAGAACCATCCCTTAGTTAAGCTGCTATGGGCCGAGACCGCTGGGGGATTTTCCATGATGCACTGAGCAACTCTCCTCTCCCCTCCTCTTTCTCTCTCTGTACATTTCTATGTGACCACTGCATGTCACTTCATTTGTGCCTTTGCTCCCCAGTAGTTTGTTTTTTGTCCTCTCTGCAGGTATCTCTGGATCTGGAGCTTCACGTTTCTGATCTGCAGTTACTGACTTCACTGACCTCCAAAGTGTTAATTATTTTCTTATGCATTGTTTTTTGTCTGCCATTCCGTTCTCTCCCTCTTTACCCTCACCTGGACCGGTCGAGGCAGATGGCTATGGCTTAACCTGGTTCTGCAGGAGTTCTTTTTTTTTCTTCTTCCTGGAAAACTATACAGATAATTCAGAACTAAAGCTTTTAACAAGAAACACAAACACATTACTCCTGTTTAACCTCTTTACACTGGCTCCCAGTATGCTTTTGGATAGATTTCACTGTTTCATTTTAAAGCCCTTCATGGCCTCTCTCCAGTTATATTTCAGACATTTACTACCTTAGACACAAGTACGCATATTAACATCCTTAGTCAGAGGTTTTTTGTCTGTTCCCAGCTAAAAACTAAAGGGCTCTGGAATGATCTGCTTGAGGAAATCAGGCTGACTGAATCAGTAAACTCTTTTAAGTCTCTTCTTCAAACATACCTTATCAAACAGTCTTTCCTTATTTTAATTCAATAATGTTCCTCCCTCTTCAGCCTTATGTTGGTTTTGTACACCATGTTGTGCTTTTGTCTGATGATTTCATGACTTGTGTGTTCTTGTTTGCTGCCTTGTGCAGCACTTTGTTATCTGGATTCAGAAAAGTGCTCCATAAATAAAGAACATATTATTGTTGTTATTATCCTTTCCACTGTTACCAAATGCTTGCACACAGGGAATCGAAAGGAAACTTTGGATTTGTTGGGTTTCTCTATATGAAATTTATAATGTCTTCATCTTACTATGTAAAATGCATTGAGACGACATACTTTCTTTAAGTTCTCTTCAACACAATGTAGAACTGTTTTCTTTTTGTATAACCTTTCTAGTTCAATAACAGTAATGAAACACTCGTTATAAATGCAGGAACAGCTCTATATACCGTGTGCATCTTCCATCATCCATCATGCCATATCTGCACATGTGAAAGATGTACACTGTCTTTATTATATCTTAGTTTTTTATCTTTATTGTACTTCTTGCCTTGTTTCTTACTGGGCTTCACTTGTATGTAGTTGCTGTGATGTGTGAGGGATCAGTAAACTTCATCTTATCTTAGAAATAACACTGAATTTACTTGAGTGAGTGTAATAACCACAGCTCCTAAAAGAATACAGAGCAAATCAACACACATAAGAAATCCATATGTTTATTGTTAAATAATGTAGGCCTAATAAGAAACTGTCATTATGGGAAGACTTGAAACGCATTAAAGTAAAATTCTAGCTCTTTAAAAAGCATAAAGAGAGAGCTGAGGAGGAATATATTCAGTGTGATTATGGAGCCTTTCCCATCCCTCATCCAGCCCTCTGATCCCGGCCAGGAGCCTCCTGCGGTCACATGACTCCGGATGAGCCAGATTAGCGGCTCTGTTTTCAGGACTCCACTTGCAGGAGAACGTCGCTGAGGAACAGACGCTGGATGTGGCGCTCCTGAGCACCGAGGACGCCGAACTACAACCATCTTTTTTCTCGGACGTCGTAGCCGCGAATCATCCATTTATTTCGGCAGCATTCATGAAATCAGCCTGACATTGCTGGTGTGGTAAACAAAACAACAAAACAAACAAACAAACAAGAAAGATGATTTCGCCGTGGGACCGGTGGTACTCGACGAGCTGCTGCCTTTGCTGCCATGTACGGACGGGCACCATTATTCTGGGAATATGGTATATGGTAAGTCTTTTTTTTTAATTATTGTTTTTTAAAAAACTAATATTAAGCATAAATGTGTACAAAAATGGCTTCATGTGTGATAAATATCCCGCTAATGAGCGCTGAGTTAGCTAGCTAACTGCTGCTGCTGCTTTTCATTTGTTTTTCACTTGATTTGCTATTTTTCGGGATGCCCTCGATTTAACACGTTTAAACCACCTTTGCTAGCGAATTAACCCCCATTTTTAAATTAGAGGCTTATTCTTTTGTCCATATAAACACGTTTTAATCAAATACAACCGTTTAACACTAATTTTTTCACCCATTTTCGCCGTGCGGTGGTCCTCCTCCTCCTCCTCCTCGGCTAACGTTCAGGTTGCACTTTTTTTTTTGATAACACCACCGACTGCTCGCTTCGTCCTACATCTGCGGTGGGTTAAATATAGTTTGCTTCTGTTTATACACACGCGGGATAACCTAAAGTTTTAAACATAGTTCGGTAAGCCTAGAAAATCCCTGACCTTTAATAAGTCCCTCTCGCTTTTTTTGCTCCTACTACTGATCATTAAGTAGAGTCCAGGCCAGAAAAAGCAACAAATACCTGCATAAGATGTTTTCATACAAACCGGAAAACAGGTGACATAAGAGTCTGGAGGTCGTTTGTCTTCATCATGCTGCTTGGAACAAGTGCTGTATTGATCCTGGTCAGTAGTTAATCACTGGCACTTTGATTAAATTACACATTACACTAAAGCGGAGACGTTTAGTCAATGAGAATGAACAGAAAATGAAGCAAAAATATATTTTCTGCATCTTAGGTGCTGACTGAATGAACTTGAGGACAGTATTATCACGCTTTTGTAAACTCTTCATGTGAAAAGTACTCTATAGACTTGTATATAAGTTCCAAATCATGATGCCTTATTTCACATTTGTCAGCTACATCCATCCACACGGTGTCATATCTTAAAGAATAACTAACAATGCTTTACTTCATATGGAGTTGTTTTTGCATTTGTATGACTTTAATGCTGCTCCAAGCAAAAGCCTGATAAGATAGCCCATTTATTAATCCCACAGTGGGGACATTTGCAGTGTTACAGCAGCAAAGATAGCTCTAAAAATAACATTATAGCACATATCAATGGCATTGAATAGGAAATATTGAGAGTATTGATATTGTACAGATTGTCTATATTGCACAGTAAGTAGATCTAAATAGCGTATATTGCATCTTCACTTAAAGCTGCTGTTCTAATCGTCAGAGTTGTCACACTGTCTGAAGATTCGTGCAAGCTGTGCACTTTGAAATAAATATTGATTTTCTGCTCCCCGCAGCTCATCAATGCAGTGGTCCTACTCATCTTGTTGTCGGCTCTCAATGACCCAATTCAGTACCGCTACCACCTTACCAGCTCCGAGCTGGGAACCGACATAGATGTCATGGACGATGCAAGTGAGTGCTGCTAATCCTCCCTCCCACTGATACACGTCTGATAGTTTGTATTAAATTACCTCAAGGACGCGAGTCAAATCTTTTTATGTTCCAGTTCTTTCTGTGTGAGAATGTGTTGTTTGTTCTGTTTTGTACTGTCGGGAACTGATTGTCTTTGGGCATGTGACGACGTCGGCATTTTTCATTATATTTGGAGATTTTACAGACAACACAGCTGATGGCTAAATAATCAGCAGATTAATCAATAATGAAAATAATGAAATAGCTGCAACCCATTCATTTAAGATTTATCAGATTGTCTGTGAGAGTTTGCTCTGTTATGAGGTTTGTGTTTTTTATTCATATTTCTTTTTTTTAACACTAATAGCCCAATCTCAACAATCCACAAAGAAGAATATTATAATATTTTATTAATGTACTCGTGCATAAAACCAGAGACCCTGAGTGTCACATAAAAGCAGGAATATCTACATTATGTGATGCTTCAAAAAAAGTGTGACATTGGATTTTTCTTTACTCCATTCATCTCTTTACGTAACCGATTCAGCTGACAGATTGAAAAGAAAAGCTACACAATAGTGCCAGAAGCATATGCTGTAATGTTTTAACCTCATGTCCTCTGCATCAGTATTACAGTTTTACACATATTTAATTACACATTTAATTCGTTTAGCTTGAGCAGACGAATAAGTTGAAGTATCTGTGTGCTGTTAACTTCGGTAGAGAATGACTATGAGCAGCCCAACTCCCAGGAAACGTTCGGTTTTATAGCTCAGTAACAACATTACTTGAATGGAACTCAAGGTTTTGTCCGAGAGTGTGCTCATTAAAATCAATGTCATGTCCCTTTAGCTCCACGTGTGTCCGCGGCTGTAAAATCACCTATACTTTCTGCCCACCACTTCTTTTCTGAGAATGCTGCTCTCAGCACCGACACAGCTGAGTAAGCCAGGCACCGTAGAGAACAAATCAGAGTGCATGTGTATTTTCAGCGCCTCCCCTCCAGCAGCTATCATCATCACAGTCGCTTCTGGAAGGCCACAGACACTGTCACTGGCTACTCTGATTAAAAATGACTGCTCTAATTCTCCCTCGGATTAAAACGGCCATGTTGACTGACTCCCTCCCCCCTCTCGTAGCGTTTTATGCTTGTGCGCCATCGGTCAAAGATTGTGAAACGCCGGGAAAAAGGATGGGGATGAGCTGGTGTCATGGTTTTGCAATAGGCGCTTGTCAGTAGCACCAATGTCACTGATCATATGCATAAAAATGTCATGTTTGCTGATGATGTGATGGGGGGTAGTAGTGTATTTGTATGTGTTGTTTATATATAGTATGCATGGACTTGTGTGTCTGTCTAGCAAGGAATTAAGATGCCTTGAAGGGTATCATCATTTCCTCGGTCTTCACACAGTATCATATGGATGACAACATGATACACAGTAGTTGCATTCCATTTTTATTAGTTTGTGTTTTGTGAAGTCATGGAAATTATAGTTAATTAATTATGGTTTTTTGGTGCTGACACCTTTTGTACTTACTGATCCGTGGTTGTTTCGTTGTTGTTTTTCGTACCTGCAGATCCCCTGTGTTAGTTTGATGTCAGTGGATGATATTATTTACTATTTCGAGAGCTATACTGACAGTGACAAGTGTCTCATCAGTGAGTTCTCGCAGCTATAATGTGAATATGAGAGGGGTGTTGCATTTAGTCCGATTTAGCAGCTCTTGCATAACAATTACCTACATGCTCATCATGTTTTATCCGAGGAAGACTGAGTGCTAAAAATAGCGAGGTTACCCAAGGTGCGTTGTTTTGTAAGAATCCATTTCCCCATTAGGGCTGGGCATTAACATGTGATCTGTATACGGATACCTAGATGCTGTTATCGGATCCAGGGGTAATTGCATTTACGCCTTGTAATAAATGTCCTTGTTATTTCAACTGAGTTAACCGGAAGATGAGCAGGAATTCAGCTGTATTAAACGATAATCAGTTCCTACGTAATGTTAGTAGGCTCAATACATTCCCAACATTATACCACCATGTACCATAAGTGAGAGTATCTGTAAAAGAAAATAATATGAATTACAAAAGGAGAAGTCATTTTCACACATGACTGACATTAAAGAGGAAAGACGTTTCCTGCACGGTAGCAAAACACTTTACGCAAGTCTTAAAAGACTCCCTGCAGGTAAAACGCAACAAATGACTGACTGACTCAGAAAGACTCACTATAAACGGAAATGAAAACACTGGCTAGCTTAGCAACATTAAGGCTAAAAATAACCCATAATGCAGCTCTCTATGTAGAGGACTAACCACAACTACAGTGGTCCATTGGAAAACTGTATGTTTAGACCGCAAATATAAGTCGACCCCAACATTTTCAAATCCAAGCTCCGGAAAGAAAAAAATCTTAATATAGTACCTCTAATACACAAAGGAGTAAATGTTTTTGATAATGCTGAAGACCATAGTGTTAGGATTTCTGAATACCTTAATAGAGTGATATCACCCAAACCTGACTGTCAGGAAAAAACACAATTTGCTTTGATGTCTTCAGTTGGATAATTAATCACTTTATGCTTTTACGACTTTTCTTTTCTTTTTCTTTTTTTTTACCTTTTGCCGATACAGCATCTTAATAAGCTCTGTTTATGAGAATGCGCTATTATAAATAAAGTCAGACTTGCACCAATCACTGAAAGACACTGAGATTACATCAGTGGATTTTACCGTTTCTGGGAAAGTTCGCATTTGCTTCCGTTCGTCACCGGTAAACCAGATTATCTGTTCTCACATTATTATGTGTTTGTGTTTTCTTTCTGCAGATATCTGCATAGCCACTGCAATATCCCTACTCATGATTCTTATATGTGGCATGGCAACATATGGTGCTTACAAGGTAAACTGACACAACAGATTACACTCAAACACACATGTGGACTTAAGAAACTGAGTTCCTTCATCTAATCTGAATCTCTCCCATATAGCAACATGCTGCTTGGATCATTCCATTCTTCTGCTACCAAATCTTCGACTTTGCCCTTAACACGCTGGTAGCCATTAGTGTGGTGGTTTATCCCAACACGGTCCAGGACTACCTCCAGCAGCTGGTGAGGACTATTTCATTCCAACTAAAACACCTACTTAAGTGATTTAATGTTGTTACTAAATCTTTAAAAGTCAAGGAATAGCTCAGTGCTTTTAAACTAAGTTTGTGTAACTGCTTAACATGACAGATTCTGGGTTTAGTGATTCACCAAAGCATTTGTTGAGTAACACTGTTAAAGAAGAGGCATTCAGGGAAAGCGGGCCACCTACACATGAGCACAGGTCTTAGTTATGTAGATTAGGTGTCTAGTTTAGACTCCTGGGTTGCAGAGGACTGAAAGGTCAAATTCTGTCAGAGGCTGATTTGAAACAGGCCATTTTAGTTCTTTCTGTCTCACATTTCTCATTGATTTTTGTTTCCCATTTGACATTTATTTATCTTCCTGTCTGCCTCCCTTCCAGCCGGGGACATTCCCTTACAAAGAGGACATCATGTCCACCAACAACATGTGCCTAGTGTTTGCAGTCCTCCTCTTCATTGGCTGCATCCTCTCCTTCAAGGTAATCAGAATCTCTCTACATGTGCTGAGTCTCACAGTTGGCCGAGCTTTGGCCTTGCTAGCTTTTTAGTATTCTTTTTGGTTGCTGAACATTCATCTGACTGACAAATAAAACTGTGCAGATGCATGAAAAATACTTGTAAAATCAAATATATTCCATACATGCAACACATTGCTACAGATTACATACCCACTGAACATTTGCTCATCGTGGAAAACAGCCTTTTTTTTTTTTTTGTAGAGTTGCTCATCATATTGCAATGTGATTAAGGCAATTAAGCCTCCCGCTGTGCACATCTCAGAGCAGTATGAACCATATGGCATGTATAATGAATCTACCAGTGTGAACATTTCCCATTACCAATGTTGTTCATGAGATTATCACACAGTCAGAGAGCAGCAGGTCAGGGACAACAGGAAACCAACTCCCGTCAAACTAATTCTCCCTTAATGCATGGATGATTCTCCAGGCGCAGCTCTGCTCCGGGGCTCTTGGACAAGATAGGGCATGAAGTTGCAGTCATCTGTACAATCAAATCAAGTTGTTTCTCCTCTAAGCTGAGATTAGAAATGTTCTCGGCAGATATCCAAAGCCAGAGCCGGGGTTTTATGACAGGAAGCAGCCACTGGAAGACACACTGCTGGACTCGCAGTCAGAAGAGTTATAAATGTTCTGTCTGACACAGTGAGCTTTTTGTATGTGGAAAAGCTGGACTGCCTGCGTTAAAGATCGCAAATACATTTGTGACATTTGGCAGGAACAATCAATGCGACCCTATATTTATTGATGCTGCACATACAGTACATGTTGACTAGTGTTGTCTATACTGATGATAGCTGAGCTCCCTGGAGAAGGGCCAGATGTAAAACCTCAAGGACACATTCAGCTCTCAGGGCAGAGTGAACACCTGCTAAAGTTCCTGCCAAAGCCAACATCCTCCACTTGACTGCACTTGGCGTAAATGACACAGACAGGAAGACGGAGAAAGAAGAGAGGGTAGAAGAGACGGAGTTGAAGATGCAGCAGCGACGGAAATATAAATGGATAAATGGTTCAGTGACTAAAGAAAGGGAGAGGGAGAGAGATGTGGAAAGTAAAAGGGCAGAATGATCAAATTCAGATTTGTAGTGATGCGTAAAGCCAGCCCAGCACATAACTACTCAATACATATTTTCTTCACAAACTAGTTTTTTAAAATCAAATACAGAGCAAACAAAAGTCACATTTGCACCTTTTTCGAGGTTATATTGAGAGTATAAGCTGGTGAAAAAAAGAGTGCACATGCAGACTCTTTTTCAGTCAGAAAATGATTAAATAGTGCACAGAAGAAGAGAATTGGATCAGCATAGCAAGTTAAAATGGCTAAGGAGTAAAGCCAACTGTATTGACAGCATTTCAAACGTGTGCAGAATGATGTGTGCAGGTTAAGCTGCCCTCACACTTGTGTTGCACAGCGAGCAGGTCAACTCAGCAGATGGTAAAGTGATTGGCTGGTGCTCTTGCTTGGCTTCCTGGTTGGTTGCTCTTAGCGCTGGCAGAGGTACCAACTCAGCAGGCTACTCACACACACTCACACAATGAGCCTCCTTTTCTTTTGCCAAGTCAGACAAACCTAAACCCCAGTGCAGGCATAGGCTCACTGAGGCAAGCGATGCCTGATAAGTTGGTAAAATGGCGGCGGAAGAAGCAGAAAAGCCACATTGTTGGAGAAATGTTCACACGTAGAACTGACTTAATTGAATTGCTCACAAAAATAGCGGGTGTATCACAGCCTCGTCGAGCGGTGATATGATGCATCTCTGCTGTCACCCTCTCTAACCTTGACGAATGGATGCGATCACAGCAAGCAGCTACTGTAATAATGAAAAGTGTCGCTAAAGGTCATCGCGTGTTCTTTGTTTTCACCTCCTGGGGACAGGCCTACCTGATTGGCTGCGTGTGGAACTGCTACAGATATGTGAGCGGCAGGGGCACCACGGAGGTCCTGGTTTATGTCACCACAAACGACACCACGGTGAGTCCTCACGTCCACCCTCCAGCGCATCACCTCGAGGACACGCCGGCTGTCCCTCCGCTGTTAGATCATAACATAATTACATTTGCACCGCATCGATTTGTACTCTTTCAGCTTAGGAGCACTCAGTTCATTATATTAGCTGACATAATTCAGATAAAGGCTTTGAAAAGTCACTTTCATCTCTACGCTCGGCACATTATTATAAATAGTGTATCAAATGCTACTCTCAAAAATTGAGTTTTTTTTTTTTTAGCAGTACTAAAATTTAGATGATATTTACTTTTGCGTGTATTGCAGCTCAATGAGTTGATACCTCTAAATGTGCAAGGTAAGGATTTTAGGAAACAATAGATAATTAATAGACGATAGAAATAGATCTTCAACTTGGAAAAGGAAGTATTCAAGAACCTCATTGACCTTAACTTCAAACCAAAGTGTTCTGTTCACTGTGAGATATCTTTTCTCAAAAAAAAGGAAAAAAAGTTTCATAAATTGGAATTTTTTCTGCATTCATATATAAAATAATCCTATTATTTCATTGGCAGTTTGATTATATTTTGTTTACTGTTTCAAAAAACCGAAAAGAAAAACATCCAGTCTCATAAAATGTATTGTCTGTCTTATCTTATAATAATGACAAGTTTCAATATAAAAAAAAAATCTTATGAAACTGGAGTAATCACGTTATTTGCATCACTTTTACATTTTCAAGAGGTTCAGGTTAATGAGGTTCTGATATTAAAATCTCATTAACTTCAGAGGTTAGACAGTTTAGACGTGTCAGATTTCCTGTTTATACAATAGGTGAAGTTGCTATGTGTAGTTTTTTAACCACAAATCAGAAACAACAACATAGTCCAAGTTATATTCTGCAAAAACTGCATTAATTGTGTTAAAATCCTACACATATCACTTTATACAGCATTTTATATTGTAAACTATACAGTGATTAGTGACTGAATCATACTTAATAGCACTCCTTAATGCTTATCTAAATAGTTTATATTGTAGATGCTAGTAGAGTAGTGTATGCAATAAATAAAGGGTCCACAATCTGCTGTCGAGTGGTTTAACTCTTCCAGCGCAGTGGCGCTCAGTTGTCAGTGAAGTGCTGTAGGTTATCCTGAGTCGTAGTTGGCTGGCTGAGCAAAGCCGCATGTTGTCCATCCCACTTGGCCCCCTTAGAGTTGTCTTCGGGTGTTTTCTGAGAGGCTTTAGCATAGTCACTGTTTCCATTTGTCTGTCTGTTTGTAATCCTCCATGCTGATACATAAGACATTAATCTGTCTCACACCCGCTGTCGTCGCAATAAGCGGCACTTCATCTGTCTGTCACTTTGTCCTTGGTGCTGTCACGGCCCTGCCTCGCAGCGCTGACGTTTTTCACCTTATGAAACAGGCTGTGCGCCCAGGAGCTAATCCAGCAGCGCCTGATGTCACAGTGTGTATCATATGGCCTCTCAGCACACACTGGACATGTGCCAGCCGTTTTGTCCACTGTAGATATGATGGAGGAAACAAGCTGTATTTTTTTTTTCCTTAAACAAATTTTGAGAGAAACAACTTTGTCATGAAACACAAAACATTTGATTTAGAAATATATGAATTATCACATGTAAACAATAGAGAGCAAAACTTTGTGATTTTGTGTGGTTTAGCAGGTTAATATAAAGTCCAAAAATAGGTAAAAAGCAAAAAGTAAAAGGTGTTAAATGAGTCTGAAATATAACTGAATGCATCGGTAAACAACACAGAGTTCAAAACGAAATATAAAACTTTATACTAGCTTTTTAATGATTAAACGTTGCATGGTGAAAACGGGGACCACATAATGAATTAATGTGTGCAGCAAGCTATGAAGATGTACATTTCTTTTCAGTTTTGTTTAGCGTCTTCTCACTCATCTGATTATCTTTTTATTGCCTTTGGAGTTTGGTTAATGAGCTTGAATTGGCTTCTGTAAGCACGTCTCTGAAAATACAAACGATCCAAAGATATAGTTATATTACAGGCATCATTAATAGTAGCTTATGCGAACTTGACACCTTTGTAATTGACTTGTCACAAAGGATGTGTCAAAACTTGGACAACTACAAAATTAAGTATCAATTAAAAGTAATTAGGAAACAAAAAAGACTAAAAACCCTGAAATTTTAGAACCAAACAAATGGAGTAAACAGCCAAAGCAACTGGGTCAAAGTGAAGCCGGAGCACAAGCCGTGTGAATTTTAATGAGAGAGGTATGAGGGAACAACTCTTACCTAAATGCAACAAATATCTGGAACATAAACGGGTCAAACTGCTCTCACATCGCACTGGATAGATGGTTTTATCCATGCGTTCCCTTTCTGCGCACACAGTTGAATAGAGCGCTCCATCTATTTTTACTATTGGAAAGCCGACAGTGTGTCTAAATGGCTTTTTATTGCCTCGAACATCAAGTACCCAGCTGCTTATCTGCCGTGCTTTTATATAAATGCCATTAAAATGCACAAGGGTCATCTCTCCCTCTCTCTCTCTCTCTCTCCCTCCACCTCCCTTTATATATCCCTGTCCGTCCTCCTCTCTTCTTCTGGACATGTTACATAATTGCCTGCTTGTCTGCTTCATTTCAAATCCTCCCCGTGATGTGTTCGCCGGGCCTCCCTGGCTGTTTCACAATTCCATCCCCTCCGAGCATATTCTCTCCCTCTCTCCCTCGCTTCCTCTCTCTCGCTCTGAATTAGCAGTGGAGCTGGTTTTATAACACCATTTATAGAGAGAGACCTCTTATGGCTCTGGCCTGTAAAGCGGAGGGACGTGTGAGAGCGTTATCCTTGCAGCCAGTCGTACCTTAAATAGGGATGGGATGAAGGGCATTAAACATGACAGCACAGCGAGCTGTGTTTACTATAAATTACAGTGCACGGTGTTTTCTGCATGGGATATTTCTGCACAACACACAACTTTGTGGCAGTTTCTTCTTCCGCCGCTTTGTGTTTTATCGAAGCGAAAACAGCCGTTTTGTGACGTTGCAGCTCACAGCAGTGGTGATGCAAACCCATGATTGTCTATTCAGTGAACTGCAGCGTGTTTTATTATATAAGGAGTAGAAGAACGACTGAATATGGCAATTATTTCGGGCACGGCTTATGGTAAGACTGTGTAGTCGTTGCTTAACAGGAGCCTCCGAGACTGTTACAGAATAATAATGCCAACCGAACCTTGTGTAACAGCGGCATAAGTGGAGAAGTCAGTGAAGTCAGAAAACGTTCTAAGTCAGTTGCTCGGCATTCCAAGTGCATGTATGAGAAAAACTGTTGAGTGTATTTAACTGATTAATGCTGCAGTTTATAGATTTTTTAATTTGGCTTTCATTTCTATGAAAAGTGTTTTTCTGTCAGAAGTTATGTAGTTTTACTCGGAGCATTAAAGTTGAAACACAAAGCTACTAATTATGTGTACACGTAAATTCATTATTGGTTTTTGAAAATACTATGTGTAGCAAAATAGTGTTAAGAAGAGCTTTTCACTAATTGGTTTTAAGAGCTTTCAGTTGCGTCTCAGAGGCTTCCTCTGTAACGGGACTGACTCAGGTGTTATCATGTAACCTGAGTGTAAAACAGACGAAGTTAATCATAATAACTGATGAGATTTATACAGCGCTTTTCTAGACACTCAAAGTCGCTTTACACTGTCAATTATTCATTCATTCACACACATTCATTCCAGTGGTAGTTATGGTTGTGGCCATAGCTGCCCCAGGGCAGACTGACAGAAGCGTGGCTGCCATTCTGCCCCTCCTACCACCACCTCAAACAATCCATTCATACGCATTCACACCAGGCGGGTGAAGTGTCTTGCCCAAGGACACAACAACCATGACAGAGGTTACAGGGCGGAATCGAACCGCCGACCTTCCGATCATTGACCGACTCCCTCTACCACATGAGCCGCCCCGACGTTGAACTGTTAGCCTACTTAATGAATTGAACCAGCTCCTAAATGCTCAAAATAGATTGATTTGTTCAACAGAATATGCAATATGCAGTGATTCATGTAGTAATTAATCAGTCCTTCACTTTTTTTAAATATTAAACATATTAAATTAGTCTTTCAATTCATGTTTGTCTTCATAGTTAACATTTTGTAGTTTGAACCTTTGCTTTTATATCATTGGTTTGTATGGTCGTATAAGAAATGGTAGAAGCAATTATTTTAGGTATACCTTGGCTTGTACAGTAGATTATCTCATATCTCTGTTGGGAATTTCATGTATTTTTTTTTATGGATTATAGACTACAGGAATTATGGAACTAATTAGGTCATAAAAAGACAACAAGTAGCTTCAAATGTTAGTTAGTTTTATAGTTCTGTATGTATCACCAGTTCAGGCCAAAACCAGTACTGATTGAGGAGCATTTAGTGCTTCAGAAATCCACACAGTTTACCAGAACAGAGGACGTATTCTGGCTACGATCCGTACTGAGACGACTTTTGCTTCCATTTCAGGTTCCGCTGCCACCATACGAGGAAGCCATCGCCATCCCGCCCAAGGAGCCCCCACCCCAGTATATGGAGGCATGAGAGACGCCCTTGCTGCTGGATTATATACCCCAAACAACCCTCCAGCGCCTACCACGTCTCCCTCCAACAGTAGGACCCCAACGCCGGCCGCAACGTGTTGAAAAACAAGACGAAACAATGTCTTAGATGCTGGTATCAGCTTGGATTCCTGCCAACGTTAGATTAGATTACCCTGAGCCAATATTGCCATTAACTCTGCCCCTCTCTCCGCCACCCTTCGGCTGTTGTGACGTATTGTCCTCCCTCTCGTCTCCTCTGTTCTCCTTCAAGGGCAGCATCACAGCAACTTTCAACCCTCCTCCCTCCCCCCAACCTCCAACCAACCAACCAACCAACCAACCCTCCCTCTGGGCAGCTGCTGTTCCCTGGAAGCATCTAAACTCTTGCACGCCCCGAACGCTCTGACCCACCTTAACATGCACTTTTCTTTGAGGGAAAAGTTCACCCGGTTTGGCCACCAACTGTTAACCCCCAATACTGTGAAATCTCCCTTGTGGTCTTTGTCTAAAAACAAACTACCTGAAGAGGGATCTAGCAACAGAGAGAGCGAGAAGGAAAGCGACATACATTATCAGTTATACAAGAGCACTTTTTTCAGAAATTGACAAATTTCCTTCATTGAATGTAATGTCGGGGTATTTTTGTATGACTTTTTTGTATAACAGTGAAAACTGAGAGGAAAAAAGACGTGAATAGTGAAAAGGCTGTCCTGTTGTGATAAAATATCATCGTCTGTGTGCTGATGGAGCTGGTCCTGCTGGGAAGCACATTGGAAAAAAAACACAAAAAAACAGGTTCCTTGACCAATAACAACTACGTCTTCCTTTTGTATCCACGTTCCACCGTCTGTAAACCTGTAACCCATCGACTGCCAGTGAACAAACCTTGACTTCAGTCACAGTATTCCAGTTTGCCTTCCTGTCCACTTTGTCGTTTTCGAGATCTAAAGCGTTCATGTGATCATCCGGTGAAGCACTTATCACAGACACAATTTGACGACAGATCCACACCCAGAAAGGCAACGCATAAACCGTGTGTGAAAATGTTGACTTCTGTCGTGTTCCCTTTGAGTTGCAGCTGCAACAGCATCGACTGTGTCTTTATTGTTTTTTTGTTTTGTTTTTTACGTGGATCATGGTGTACAATCTGATCTTTTAAGTTGAGCTAACTTAGCTGGACTGAGGGCATTTTCCTATAAAGACTGCGTGACATGCTGCTGTACATGCAGAGACCGTGTGTGTGTGTGTGTGTGTGACATTATGATGTGACTCCTGCGTCCTTTATATGTAGTAACATTTCTTTTTGCACATGCAGTGATATCATTAAGCGATATATCCTGTGCTGGTGACCTTTTATGAAATATACAGTGGATGGAGCATCGACTAGTAGCACAAAAATCATTACATGAAGCTAGTTAAGCAGTGCTTGTTTTTTTTGTTTTTGCCTCAAACTGTTGTAGGCAATCAGTGGAGCATTGTGAGAAACAAATATGGAGGAAAAATAATATATAAACCTAATCCTATTTTTTCTAGTAATTCCCCAGTAGAATTTGCCATCAACAGAAAACCATTAAAACATCTTGTCATTCAGACTATGCAACAGTGCATTCACCAATCCATTAGACTTGGGAATACGTGTACCAGGAAGTAGTCTTATCCCATTTGATACTAATGCTGTAGGTGATAATGTAGCCATTTGTTTGGCCCCTCCATCATTGTCCCTCCCCCTGTGTGAATTATGACCACTGCTTTTGCAAATCCAACAAAGCTGAAAATGAAATTGCACTTTAATGTCAGTGTGAGCTCACTGAAACCTGCTGTATTTGTGTTGTGTTCATCGTTTTTTTTCCTTGTCATGAAGTAGCTAAGTGGTTCTAGTATGATCAGCTACCCTCGCGTGGATGATAGAAGCTTCTAAAACATGGCGTGAATCAACATGTGCATCGTGCGATCGTTCTGGAAAGCTGCAGAGCTGACAGAGTTTCATGTGGTTGAAGACTTTTAGCTGAGTCTTGCGGTTTTGTTTTTGTTGTTCTGGACCAGTGGAGGATGGCTGATGAATCATGTTTTGTTGTCACTTCAAGACTGTTCTCTCTCCTCTTGTTGGATCTGCATGAGCTCATGTCTTCAATTCCAAATAATAAAAAGATAAACGAACCCGTGTGTCTGCTGGATTTATTTATTCATCATTGTTTTGTTTTGTTTTTTTATTGTCATCTTGAGTTGGCAGTTCACTTACGAACTCTTTGAATAAGCCACTCTTGTTGACAAAATCAGGAAAATGCAAAAATAACTGCCCTTAAGGTTCCTCTCTGGTGGTTGATGTAACCCCTAAAAACATGTTTTAAAGACTCCCTATTACACTGCAGCGTCATTTGGAAAAGCTCAGCCATTGTGTTGACTGCTTACTTTGCTCATGACAGCATAAAAAACACCCTGAAGAGACATAATTCACTATTTAACATTCGTCTCCATTATTGATCTGAGTATATAGAGATATATTAGATCTAAGTAACAGAATGTACCATTTATTGAAGCGTATAGACCTTTTTTACAGGGTTATATTATGCTATTACATTTTCCATTCCGACTTCCAGTAGCTCTCTTTTTCAGACATACATGTGTTTGGACTCTTGGGTTTCAATTTGCAGTGGAAATGTTTATATAATAATTCTTAAGTATAAATACATGAAATAAATATACTGTTTCTGTTTTCTTGAATGGTTCATAGGGACTATCCATCATGCCAGATGCAAGTTGCATTTGTTTGATAAATACCAGTGACTGTAGCCCTTTTCTTTTTACATAATGAAGCCATTTTTTCCCATTTTCTTTCATATAATAGTCCATCCATTCATCATCTACACACCGCTTAATCCTCACTAGGGTCTTGGGGGGCTGGAGTCTATCCCAGCTGACTTAGGGTGAAGGCAGGAGACACCCTGGACAGGTCACCAGTCTATCAGAGACAGACAACCAAGCACACTCACATTCACACCTACAGACAATTTAGAATCACCAATTAACCTCAACATGTTTTTTTGGACTTGTGGGAGGAAGCCGGAGAACCCGCTGCACAGGGAGAACATGCAAACTCCACGAAGAAAGATCCTGAGTGTCCTCACCGGGACGTGAACCGGCGAGCCACCTTGCAGTCCCATATAATAGTCTTTCCTCTCAAATGATCCATGTGCTACATCCACTCTGTAATAACTTATTCATATAGCAAGTTTTAAAAAACAGAGTTTTTGCAAAGTGCTTTGACAGACAAGCCAAAAAAGAAGCCACTCCAGAGATGCTACAATTGGAGAAATAAAGTGAAATATGGTAAAAGATACAAAATGCAAAACACAGAATTTCAGTATAAATGAGTAGATAGAGAAAACAAACAGCAATTGATACAAATACAAATAACAAAAGCACCAAAAATGCCACAGCAGAGTAAAAGAGATGATGTGATTTAAAATAAGACTGATTCTGCTGCCTGATCTCCTTAAGAACGGTTCTTCTGAAGGTGAAAGGGCCTGATGGCAAACACAAGGTCACCCTTAGATTTAGGCCTCGACTTTGGATCAGTCAGAAGGATCTAAAACTGCAAAGCTGTGGCTCATATACAGTCAATATTTCTGTTGTACAGCTTGGGGCCTCAAGAGCTTTAAATCAATAAAATCTGAAAATCCGAAAAGCAACAACCAAGCACACTCAGACTCAACTTACGACCAATTTAGAGCCACCAGGCGCTCCACCATGCATGTTTTGGACTCTGGTAGGAAACCAGCAAAAGGAAAACATGCAAACTCGGCACAAAAAAGTCCCAGGCAACCCAGTTTGAACCCAGAACCTTTGATGCTACAGTACTGACCACTGTACCACTGTGCCAATAAACCAAAAACTGTTCTCCAGCTTACATGATGGCAGGCCGCTCCAAATGCAGCAGTTCTATGAAACTGAACCATTAATTTTATCATTAACGCTTGGATTTTCTTCATGTGGCAGGTTGGAGACACTAAAAAAGGCCAGAACCCAAGAAAAACAGGTTTTGCGTCACACAGGAGCCAACCTTTAAAAAGGGCCTTTATAATAAAGCAAAGCAGTTCCGTCTCAGAGCTGACTAGAAACCACCATCCTGCTCCTACTGTTCACATTACAGAGCGTCTTTGTTTCGTGTTAGTGGAGGCGGCATCCTGTGAAATCCTACTCAACAAAAACTGAAACGCATCATAAGCTGAATTTGAGCGTCGAGACCCACAGAGAGCTGACTGGATCCACTCCGAGCCAAGAAATTCAACCTAGTCAGGATGCTGGAGTTTCGTGATAGACAGCTGTAACCCTTGTTTTTAGAGCATGTCAACAGATTGCTCTAAGACCGTCTGGGTTTTGCGACTATTCCAAAAAAAAAAAGGGTATCAGTCTGCTGCCCTCAGAGCTCCAGCATCCCCCGCTCAGTGTGGACGAACATGCTGGGAGATCAGCGAGGGATTTACCCGTCCGCCTCAAAATGGAGGCTGGCATTACCTTGGGTCTGACCAGACAGACGCGCTCACCTACTTTCTGCCACTGGGACGGGGCAGAGGGGGGAAAAAATAAGTGGGTCACATTCTGTCTCTTTTCTTGCTGAAATGCACGTCAGGGGCAGAAAGAGGGTCGTAGAGGGACATTAGTGTCCAAAGAGGAGGGTGTACAAATCTGTCAGCAGAATTCCTATGACCTGGATAACATTGAAGCTCTCCTCAGAAAAACGTCCAAAACAAGCACTTTACCAAAATAGGTCTTCAATGTACGGGACAGAAGTAAAATGAGAGGCCGTTCATACAGTGTAGGGGAATATAAATCACTCAGCACCCAGAAAATGTCCACTTAACATTCAGGTTCTGATCATTTGGTAAGAAAAATAAGATTTTTTATGAGTGAAATTTAAGCTGAAGCCAATAAAAATATAACAAAACCCGACAACAGGTCAAAAATGGTGCAGCTCTCGATGAGTCCGCGCGGTCCTCTGCTTCTATTTGTGGTGCAGATTGTTCACACTTGTTAATTCACATCTTTTTTTTCCGCAGCCTTTTTAGATATTGTCCTCATTCTGCGCACGGCATCGGCCGCACGTGATCGCCAGGCATGATTTCATTCGATTTAATTGGGAATCGAGAAAATAAGGATTAGGGGAGCAATGAGTGGAAAAAACTGGGCCAAAGCACTCGATGGATGATGGGCAGCTTACATCGCTCTGGGTCTCTGGGTGGAAGCACGGAAACCCCGTGGGTCAGGAAACGTATGGCAGAAAGAATGAAAGCTGACCGTCAGCGGCACTGCGTTTAGTTCACACATCAACTATTCAAAGCTGATGAAATGACTATGACTCCACTGCCAAATGAATTTAAACCTTTCATGTATCAGAAGAGCACTCAATTAGATGATTCAACATTGTAAGAAGCATCTTTCTAAGATCATTTTTCAGTAAAATTTGTCAACTTTTGGCTATTTTGGTTTGATTCAACTAATGAAAGATGCAACTTGTTTACAAATTAAAGAGGCACGTCACCAGTTTATTGTTGAAACTGACTCACTTTTTAGTCATGAGGATGAGTCACTGTCCAAAATCCCTGCCTCCTACATTTCCAACAATGCATCTCAATTTAGTGTTTTCATCTGTGTGGTAAAGCTCAAGCAGTGATTAACCTTGACGGCACTCTGTTTTCTTGGACTTGAAAATCTCTCTGAGCAAAACGAAACACGACAAACACGCTGATGTTAGTGCGTGACGACCTCACCTGTGCAGATGTCATCGTTTTAAAAAGATGGGATTATTTTGTTGACATGTATTTGTTGAAATGTAGTAAGATGTTTTCATGAAAATATATTTTGAATTCTGAGACTACAGCAGATGAATCAAATACCAACTGTGACATGTTTCAGAGAGCTGTGGATGTTTAAACCTTGCATTATTTTGACACCTATCAGGCTTTTTTATTTATTTAAAAATGAAATATTGATTTTGTAATACACAGGTACATGTATATATGGGTATGTATGTATTATGTCTGTCACTCACATGAAGTCTTTGTTATTTTTTGTTTATATAGTTATTTTCTTTTCTTTCTCTATTTTTTTTTTCAAATTTTTCCAAATTAAATGAACTGAATCTAACAGCTGAAACTCAGGCCATCAAAAAGTCCAAAGTCAGACTCGGTTTGATGTGCATCAGCAGCTACACGTGACAGGATTAATCGACTTTATCCACCTTCGCTACCAAACTGCCCTGCAGCAGGTAACTCAGACCCTCAGCAGAGCAGAGCTGTGGCTGCACTGTGACCTCCTACAAACCCCTGCTGAATGAATCTTCCCCACTCATCCCCCTCTACGGTTTTATACACAGCAGTCACTCGAGTTGGACGGAGATCAGCGATTCCTGTCAACTCACTCAGGGTGTGAACCGGCAGCATCTCTTCACAGCCAACAGATGTCCAGCGTATATCGATGTTACACAAGTCGTGCAGCGGTAGTAACATTCTGATAACTGACGCGGCTCAACGTGTAACCCGAGCACTTTTTTGACTTCTTGTTCGACTGGATTGAAGGTTGAAATCTGCACAAATATTAAGTGAGAGGATCTCAAGAGTCGAATGTTGTGGTCTTTTATAAACATCTATAAGTTGTTCAATCTGTCGCTTATTCAACATGATTGGAATTGACAAGATTTGTGATGCTCAACTTGAAAAATTTCAACTTACGAGGTTTTTTTTTTTTAAAGTTTTGTGTTTGACATCAGCTTGGTTTAGTAGTAACCATTTCATACACATCTCACTAACACATGCAGCAGTGCCTCAAGAATGTTTTTCTCTGGCTTTAATCTGAATTATTTTTATTACGTCCTTCTTTCATCAGTGACAAAAAGCCCTAACTCAACAGTAAACCACGTTGTTCTTGATTTAGAAGCTGGCCCGGACGTATGATTCAGACGGCATCAACAGTATGTGTGACAGAGGCAGCTATCACCCTCTAAAGCCTTTAATGCCCCGGAAAGGAGTGTCCTTACTCGATTACAGTCAACGAGCTGCAGTTAACGCAGCAGACGGTCGTCCCCAAGGTTTATGTAAGTGAGAAAAAAAAAGAGAGAACATTCCCGATGATCAGCGATTGCGTAATTTTGACATCAACGC